AAAAAACAAATACGGGATATTTTGAGTAAATAAGGATGGATGGGTTACATAAAATTGCGAGGGTTAGTAAAATTATATAGAGATTCAAGAGCAGGGATGGGCAAACTTTTGTTTCGCTCTTTCGCGCCCTTTTTCCATGTATTTCGTTTCGGTTAAATTGTGGACAAAACAAAATAATAAAAGAAACACCCTTAATGGCGAGAATTTTAAAAAATTTGAAGGAATTTTAGGAGATTTTGCGGGATTATAAATTTTTGAATTTTTCCAAAATTTTTACCCTAAATAATTAATATTTTTTGGAGTTCAGTTGAGTCCAAATGTTTATGTTTTGTATCTTCGCGCATTAGAACCGGTATGCTTGAGTAAAATTGATTCTAATGGAAGGGAAATAAGAAGGCGATCTTGAGGGTTAAAGAGATTTCTGAGATTTTCTGAGATTTTATTCTTCTTTGATATAAAGGGGTATATTAGGATTAAAAGTGATATCTGCAGATATACCGTAAATCCTCTAAATAGTCATCCCTCCTAAAATAAGTGCCCTCCCATTTTCTTTGTTGATAAATTGTTGTGCCCTCTCCGTTGAGTCCCCATGAAGGGAAATTGAAGGATTAGAAGTGATTAAGACGGCATTTGGGAGATTAACAAGATAACTAGGGATCTAAGCGAGTAAGAGCGATATCTGAAATAAACTATTTGTATAAAAATAGTGAAGATTAATGGAAATCAGAAGGGTTATTCGGCAAAAATTTTGGCTCAGGCAAAACCACAGGTAAAAATTTTAAGGATTTTGGAAGGCAACAAGAAAACATAAAATATATGTCAGCTAGGAAAGGAATATTCACAGAAAAAATATGATTTTGTGTTTTTAAAGATTTCTTTTTGTTTGGGAAATTAATGATGATTTTGTGTTTATGGTAAAACCATAAAAAGCTATAAGATTTGAGGAACTAACAGATAAATCAAGGATCAAAGGTGATTCTGTGATTTAGGGGTGTTTAAAAGGGATATCAGAAGTTTGGGAGCTAAAGGGTGATTTCTGAGATTTTGTGTCTATCTGAGATTAAGCGTAATTAGTTAACTTAACAAAGGATTTTGTATGGTGTTAAAAAGAATGGTAATTAAAAGGGATATCGGAGGATATTGGGCTAAGGGTGATAACTGGCATTAATGATGTAAATTCTGGTGTTAGAACCGTTAATTGGTGTGTGAGAGTCCGTCGTGCATTGTTGGTTATAGTCATTGGGTGGATTTTGGTTATAACATTAAAAAGTTTGAACGAGCGTTTTGGTGCCGCGAAGCGGCACCAAACCGCTCGTATATTATTAATTAAATAAAAATCTTAACAGAAAAACAATTAAAATAAACACTCGAGTAAAACAATTAGTAAATAATTGTAATTTAGTATATTTAAGTAAAGTTCAAACATTATTTTTAAAAATATAGAAAAAAAATATATAAATCGAATATTTTATAATTTAATTAAAAATTATTTTTTCATTAAAAATTCCACTAATTTATTTAAATAATTAACATATCCGAACTGTTAGCGAAAGTCTGCAATAAAGCAACATTTTTAATTAATTATTTTAATTATTAAAGAATATAGTAAAAGTTTATATTAAAAATAAAATTTTAACCTAATATTAAATTATTTCTTTGAATTTTAATTATTTTAAGAACCTAAATTGTAAAAAAATATTTAACACATTGTAGAGCTTTTTTACAAAATATAAAACAAAAGTAAATTTAATAACAATATTTCTTGATATTTAAATAAAATTTGGAAAAAAATATTTCTAATAATTTAAAAATAATAAGTGTGAAACCTGAAGAAAAAAAGATTCGATTTTAACATGATAACTTTAACATGCGATGATAACATTACATAAATACTATGTTAATTTAGATTTAAAAATTATTAAAATAAAATATAACAGAAATAAATTTAAAATTAAATATTAATTAAATAAATATAAAAAAGATTATTTAAATATTTAAAAATAATTTATTAATTAATTATAATTATAATATAAAATTTCACAAAACATATAGGTATGTACTAACCGCTGAACATTGCATCGTGTTCTTTAGTTGTTATGCTGTCAAATATAAAATAAATATTAAAATAATCTTTATCATAAAAATATTTTAATTTATAAAGTTAAATATTAATTAACATATTTTATATATTCAAAAATAGTTAATTAATTATAATTAATATAAAATTACCCAAAGTTATACTAACCGCTGCACACTGCGTATTCTACGATTATTATCGTGTCAAGTATAAAATAAATATGTATTAAAATAATTTTTATTATAAAAATTTATTTAAATTTCCTTTTCTAATTATATTCAAAAAAATATCCCTAATTAATTTATTTATTCAGAATAATTAATTTAAATAAAACAAATTAAAACAATTTAACACAAATAATCTTTTATTTTCAAAATATTACTTTTGTGATATAAAATATAAATTAAATTACTTAAAAAAGAACATTAAGAAATATAATTTTCTGACATTCTTAAATGTAGAAAAACGAAAAAAAATTGTATAAATATCCAAAAATAAAGATCCTTAACTGAGTAATCAAACAAATAGAACTCCATTATACATACATAAGTATAATAAAAATATCTTATTTAAATTTTTTATCGACATTAATACATAAGTTTTTAATTAATTTTTGAAATTCATATAATGTAGTATCTGAATTTATGTAAATTTTTCAATCTCCATACATCAATTTTTAAAAAAATTTAGTATAAAAGCCTAATTAAATTAGTCAATGTTTCTTTAAAAATATCCATATGCCCAAAACAATGTGTGCCATCTTCGCTTCGTCTTTTCCTGTGCCTGGAGCTGTATCATCAATCATCTGCTTCATATTTCTAATTTACAGTGGTGCTACCATCTTATTTTGCTGCAAAAAATCAAAGGCGCAAAAGAAAAGGGTTTGTTCTAATTTTGGGGAGGGTCTTGCCAAAAATCGTTCTGGTTTGACAGGTACTCCCTGTTTTGATTCTGATTTGATTTTCTGAGAGAAAATTCTAATCTTCTAAATTCATTTTAACCTCAACCCCCTCCTCTCTCCTCACATTTTCTTAACTGGAACGATTCCCTCAAAATGACTGTTTCTAGCATACTTAATCTCAATTTTTAATTTCAGAAAAATAAGGCAAAGGACTCAAGGATGTCAAGAGCTTCGAAGAAGTCACATAATTGTGAGTTTTTGCGATAAATTTCAGAAAAAAATTTTTCCAAAAATTTTCAGCTTTCGAAGAAAAACGGCGTAAAAGTGGAAAATATGGAGGCGGTGATGATTACCAATCATTGGCAGGGCTAGATGGGGATATGTTTGTGAAAGGTGGAGCTAATAAACGCATTGATTCTCCTGCTAGAGGCAGACGCGGGGTATGGTAATTATCTGAAAATACAAAATTTTTTTTAATTTTTCAGAAAGCTGCGGAGAGGAGAGCTAAGAAAATTGTAAGAAAGCTTAAATTTTATAAATAAAATTTCTATTCAATTATTTTTAGAAACAGCGGCGAGGTGGAGAGTGTCAAGACGATATTGAGGAGGTAATTTATTTTAGATGATTAATCTAAAATGTGCATTCCTTTCTGACCTATTTATTCCTAAGAAACCCTCCCCCCCCCCTCCCATAAACCCTCCTTTCAATTAATCATTCAATATAAATTTCTTTCAAAGGATGTCGATGTAATGCCATTCACTCAATCGGATATTAAATTGCCTGGAAAATCGCTCCTATCAAAAGACACTATAAGGTCGAGACAGAGTATTGTGGCATCTACTAAGCAAAGTAAAGTGCAAGATAAAGGAGCTAGTCTATTTATATAAATAAAAGAAAAAAGAATGGATGTATGTATGTAAATGTGTAAAATATGTTTTTTTGTTGATTATTTGTAATTGTATTTTTATTGTTAATATTCTGATGGTTTGTTGAATAAAAAAGGATTTTAGTTAACACTCAGTTATCTCCCACCATTTTATTTTCTCACCTTTTTCCGAATTTGATCGACTATAAATTTTTTATGCTTGATACAATTCGAATGAATATCATTCGAAAGCTCTCGATAAGCGCTTTTTCCTTTTTCCCAATTAGCCATATATGAACTGATAAGGACCTCCTATGAACCTTCTATTTTTGGCTAGGAATTTCGGAATCGGAAACAAGATATGGATATGAAGATCCGCAAGTATTATACGATCTCTGAAATTTATCAAAAAATTATTACTCAATACTAAACGAGAATATTTAGACATAAAAATTTATAATTTAACAATTTTTTTCAATTCTCTTTCCTTCTTTTTGGAGTAACCAATTGCCATTCACCATCATCATTATTTTTTAAATTATTTTCAATTTCTAAAATATTTTTAAAAATAATAAAATAATTTTTTATAACAATTCCAACCTTTCTTTAGCCGTTTTGAATTTAAAACAGCTTCACTTTTAATTTTTTCTTTCCTTATTTTCTTTTCATTCATTTTTTGAGGTATTTTATTTTCAATTAATTTTTCTTCATTTACTAATTTTCTTTTATTATTTTCCAAATTTTCTTCTTTTTCAATTTTTATATTTTTTCTAAATTTTTGTATTGGCCTAAATTTATTTTTTAAACGTCCCCAACGAATTATTAAATTTTTTCTTTTTGGCGCTCTCTTCTTCAAATTTTTCTTTTCTTCTCTAAAAATAAATTTAAAAATAAAAATTTTGAAAAGTTAACACCGTGTTGGTTTGTGTAATTTAAGTAGGTATTCGGGTACAGGAAAGCCAGCTTGGTGAATTACTGTTGAAATTGGGCGAATTATTGGCATATCTGATTCCTAAATATTTAATAAATTAAATTAAATGGTAGGGGGTTTTAACTGAAAATATATTTGTGGACTTTAACATTATGCGGACCAAAGTCCATAGCCAGGATTTTTTTCGGTGGGCCAAGGTGGGAAAATTTTTCTGCGCCGAATTTTTTCACAAAAATCCCCCTACCCCCTGGCTACGGGCCTGATGCATACCCAAGTCCGTAGACTTTTCCCAAGAAATTCTTTTCAGAAAACTCCTTATTTTCGAAAAAAATTCTAATAAAAACACCGTAAATAAAGTTATAGCTCTTCCAACACGTCCAGCTCTCCCAGTTCTGCCAATTCGATGAATATAAGAAATAATTGATGTTGGCTAGAAATTTAAATATTTTTTTAAGTCAAAAAATTCTTTTTCCCTCACCAAATCAAAATTAATAACCAAATTAACATTTTGAAAATCAATTCCACGTCCCATTAATTCTGTACAAATTAATAAATCTATTGAACCAGAACGGAATCTTTCGACTACTAATTGGCACTATTTAAGAAAAATTTTTATTTAAAAAAAATTAAAAAATAATGTTAACAAAATTTATCTAAAATTTCATTGAAAATTCCTCCTAAATGCCAAAAAAATTCGAAAATTTTTAGGTGTATTTTGTTATTTAGGTATAAAAATTTGAACTTTTTAATTGTTAAACACTATTAAAGGCGAAGAACATTTGTCCTAAGAGAGAATGGGAGGGCATTCCCTTTCCGGTATGTTTTATTGTTAGAATAAACTAGGGTAGCACACCGAGCAGATGGGGTGGGATCGTCGGGAATCGGGGTTTTCCGGGGTAGTCCTTCGGGGTTCAGGTTGGGGTTTTGCCAGGAAAATAGTAGGGCCGGGGTTTTGGGGGACGGGATGTTACCCTAACATACTGTTCAAATCTATAGAACATTTCTCTAAAAATGTTTATTAATTCCCTCAACAAAATTTCAATTTAATTTTGACAAAAATTTTCTCTTTTTACTTCAAAATATCCCAAAAATCCATCCCCACCTCTTTTTCTGACAAATCCCCAGAAATTAATACAACAAAAATTTTTCCTTCAAAAAAATTTTTTAATTCCGCAAATAATTGTTTAGCTCTGTCTTTACTCTAAAATTAATTTATTTTTAAATTAATTATTTTCCAAAATTTACCTGTAAAAATATCAAAGCTGGAGGCTCAAAATTTTTTCTCAAAATATCTCTAATTATTTGAACTTTTGCCTGTTCCCACCCAGCAAATACCAATTCTTGTTTAACCAATTCATTTGCACTATTTCTTGGCCCAATACAGACCATCAACATTTCTTTTAATTTTTCTTTACACCAATTCTCTACTTGACAAGAAAATGTTGCTGAGAAAAATCCGTGACGGACATTTGGTCCACAACAGAAATTGAGGATTTTATCGAGCTTAAATTAATTTAAAAAAAATATTTATTTAAATATTTACTTGTAATTTAAAACAATTTTCCCCCTCAGTTCCTTCAAAAATTCTGTCACATTCATCAACAATTAACCATTCAAGATTTGACAAAAAATTTAAAGATTTTTCTTTTTCTAATTTTTCCAATAAATAAATTAAACGATTTGGGGTGCAAACGAGTATGTTAATTGCTAAGAAAAAAATTTTCAGAAAATTTTTTAACTTCTAAAAATTGACGAATATTCGAAAATTTAAGGTTCCGGTTTACTAGGGAAGGTTCGAGGTGTCCGACCTAAAAACGATCGAAACCGGGCTCATTCGATAGAGAATGTGACTTTTCTAGCAAGGATTTTGAGCCATTTTTGTCCGATTTTTGATCTGGCCAAGATATGATACTCCAAAGTCCAAAAAATTTAAATCTGATTAACAAAAATTATCATTTTCTTGATAAAATTTAATTCAACACTTACAAGGGAATATTTCAAACTGTGACCAACCATTTAGGAATAAAATGAAAAGAAAAATTTCTCTTTAATAGGAAAAATGAGGGACACTCGACCGCTCCAAAAGTCGAAAACTTTGAAACAATTGTATAACTTTTCGAATTGGGGGTCGGAGCCAAAAATTTCCAAAAATTCCCAATAGGTTATCGACCATTCTCTACACGATGGAATAATTTTATTTCAGGATTTTTGGTTACAGTTCAGAAGGTTCCCTTGTTAACTACTTTAGACAGCTAATTTTAAATTCCAAAAAAATTAATAATTAAATAAAGATTACCACATTTTTCCAAATTTTTTTCAATTTTCGTAGCAATTTTTGAATTTAAATAAAAACAATTAATATCCAATCCAAAACAAAATTTAACAAAATTTTGGAATGTCTAGAAAAATTGAATTACTTAATTAAAAATTTAGAAAAAACAAAACAAAAAAAAAACCTGAATTGCCAAAATTTTTGTTGGCTCTAAAATTATGGCAGAAAGTATTTTATTAGAATTTTTGGAATTGTTTTGTTGTTTTTGTTCCAAAATTCGTAAAATTATGGGTATTGCAAAAGCCAATGTTTTTCCAGAACCTAAAAATTAAAATTAAAGTTTGAATTCGAAATTGAATAGAAAAATTAAAATTGAGATTTATTTTTTTAGTGAAATAATTTTTATTAAAAATATAAAAGATGTACCAAATTTGAAAAAATATTTTATCAAAAACTAGAGAGCGAGATTTTCAAAAAACCTTGACGATTCTTGACCATGATTTTTTAGGTGAGGACCTTGACCAGATTTTTTCAAATCAAGGAACTCTGAAAAATGCCTTGCTCTGGATCCATTAAAAATCAAGGTAGGGTCCAGACCCAGCTCCCTCTCTAATTAAAAACCCTTCCCAAAAAAATAAATTTAGAACAAACCAGTTGGAGCAGTAACAAGTAAATCTCTGTGTTGTAATCCAATAGGAATTCCTTGCATCTGTACAGGCGTTGGGACAGAAAATTCTTTTAAATTTTCAGATAATTTGTCTGGTAATTGAAAATCAGAAAAATTTTCAATTGGATCTGGAATGTTTGTCCCCCAAGTAAATATTCTGTGGTTTTTACGAAGTTGACGAATCTTTGAAAAAGAAAAAAATTATTTTTAATTAAAAATAAATTTATTTTAAATTTTGATCGAAAAAAAGTAAAAAAGAAAGGGGAAATTTTAGTGCCGGACCGGATCCGGCCGGATTTTTCCGGAGTCCGGGTCTCAAATCCAGATTTTTTCGCAATTTCCGGATTAAAACCAGACCGGATTAATCCGGGGAAATCCGGCCAGATCCGGTCCGGCTCTAGATGCAAATCCGGAATCCGGGTCCGGAAAATCGATTTTACCGGTCACAGTAAATTTAAATATGAAAAAAGTTAAAAAATTGGAAAATTAAATTTTGATAAATTTTCTGTAGACAAAAATAAATTTAAATAAAAATTTCTCTATTAATTTTAATAAAAAAACCTTTTCAAAATGTTTCAATTTTTTGTCTTCTTCCATTAATTCCCCATTCTCATTTCCTTTTTCAATTAACAATTTTCTTTTCTTTTGCTTTATTTTGTTCTCATTTTTGTCAAAACTTAAATTGGATCCAGCCAATAATTGAAATTTAAAATTTTTATTTTTTGATGCCATCTAAAATTAATTAAAAATTAATTTTATTTTTTTAAGATCTCAAAAAATTTTTTTACAAAATTAAAAAATATTTGGCATAATGTTTTTATAAAAAAATTATTTTTCCTAAAATTTATTTTTTTTCTAAAAATTTTTTCAGAAAATGGAGCCTTTTATTCTTCGCGGATTTCTTTACGAAAATCACTGGCCAATAATGGAATTGTGGACAGAAAAATATTTACGTGATAATTTTGCTAAAAATAAAGGGCCTGTAACTGTACGTTTTGGAAGTAGAGAACATATAAATGGAGAGGTAAGGGTAATTTTTGAAATTAATGGAGAATGAGTAAAATTTTTATTTTCTAGAAAAAAAATTATAGAAAAAATATTTTGAAAAAATTTGCAGAAAAAAATTTCTTTTCAATTTTTATATTTTTAAGATTCTTCATGATCATGAAAGTATAAGGCATCAATTTGAAAGTTTTTCTGAAATGTTGGATTGGATGCTTGGTCGAAATGAAAAAGAGGTAAATTTTAATTAATTTATTAGAATACTTGAATTAAAAATTTATTTTTAAAATAATCTTAGATTTTTAATCAAAAAATTCAAAGGGGTATCTATGGGGCTGGGGGATACTGTCACCCCTCTCCCCTCAAATCCTTATTCTCGATTACACAATCAAATTAATTAAAAAATAAATACCGTAAAATCTCTAATAGAATGGCCGGTCATTCTATTTTCCTTCCAAAAGACCATTAAATTAAAGAGCCATTCAAATTGAGGTGGCCATTCTAACAGGGATTTTACGATATATTAAGTTCCCTCCACCTCTCTTATTTTTTTAAAATTAAAAAGTTGCCATCAATTGCTGCAAAAGAACTAAAAATAAATTCTTCAACTCACTGGGCATATTTTGATTATCGAGATATTTTGGAATTATTGGATGAAGAAACAGCTTCTCTTGTAGATTGGTCTAAATTAAATATTTTCCCTCCTTCTTCCTCTTCTGATTTAGAAAATTGGAAAGATTCAACTATTTGGATTGGTTTTAAAAAAACTTTTTTAAAAGATTATTTCCTTTAAAGGAACCCCCGGTGCCTATACTCCCTGTCATTATGATACTTACGGATTTAATTTACACGCCCAAATTTGTGGATATAAACGTTGGCTACTTTTCCCTCCAAAAACTGATTTAAACGCTACTAGACTTCCTTATGAAGAATCTAGTGTTTTCTCTTCAATTGATATTATTGGGGCTACAATGAAAGAAGTTGAGGAGGAGAATATTCCTTCTCCTTTTGTAGTTATTTGTGAACCTGGAGATTTATTATTTGTTCCCCAAAAATGGTTAGAATTATTAGAAAAAATAATTAAAAATATATCAATACAAAATAATAGGGTTGTTCACTACCGGTTACTAACCGGTAACCCTGTTTTCGGTTAATCCAAATTTTAAAAACCCGGTTTTCGGTTTTGAGTTTAGGCAAATACCGGTTTTATTTTGGGGGAATTTTTAATAAAATCAGTCATTTTCAGAAGTTTTCGGTTCTTTAAATTTTGTAAAAATGGTAACCCCCATGGGATTTTATTTTAAGCTACTTGGTAAAATTTTACAAAAATTAATTTTTATAATATTTAGGTGGCATTCTGTTCAATGTATTGCTAAAATTAACGATAACACTTTAAATACAAAAAATCTAAATACTCAATTATGTATTTCTTTAAATAAATGGTTTCCAACAGAAAATGATTTAATTGAATCAAAAAAGGAAGCTTTACTTAAATTTATGGTGTTTTAAATTATTTAAACTAAAATCGAGTATTTTTTAGATGTCATTAAATTTAAATTTTGGTTTATTAAATTTATCAGAAAATATTTGTTTGACAGAATTAAATTCTTTGGAAAATAAAAATAATTTGGATGAATTAGCTTTTTTGGTTAATGAACGTTTAGAAGAGGAGGAGGAGGGAGAAGAAGAAAATAATGTGGAGAAATTTAATTTTAAAATTAAATTAAAAATTATTTTTTTAGAAAAATTCTCCAGATCCAAAACGTGCAAAATTAATAAATAAAGAAAAATTAGAATTTAATGAAGAATATTTTTCCAATTATTTTTTAAAAAATCCATTAAAAGAAAAGATATCAGTTATGGAATGGACTGAAATTTACAAAATGGGGAAAAGTAAAAAAAATTTTAAAAATGAATTTTTGACTAGAAAAAACCATTATTTTTTAAAGATTTTTATGGAACTTTTTTGTCAACAAAATCCAATCAATTTAACAAAAATTTAAAAGAAAATTTAGTAGATCAATTAAAAATTGAATTGTTTGAGGCTATATCGACACCTAAAGTTTTGGATATTTTATTAGATGTTTTTATTTCGAGAAGAAGGAAAAAGAAGTAAAATTAGTAGAAAAATCTAAAAAAAAATTGTTTTTTGTTTAAATGCAAATTTTGTGAATAAATTCTGTTAAAAAATTGTACATGCAAGCCTTTTTCTGGTGTTACGTATACATCAGGGATGTCACGGGTTACCCGAAACCCGAAACCCGGCCTTTTTTTCGACCCGATACCCGAAACCCGATCCGAGAAATTTTCTAAAACCCGACCCGAGAATTTTTATTTTTCAAAACCCGACCCGAAACCCGACCCGAGTTTTCTCAAAATTTTCGCCCGCGTCGCAGAAAAAAGGAAGATTTTTAGCTTAATGATCTTCCAAAATTCTGAAAATTTTCGCCTGCGGCGCTGAAAAAGGAAGAAATCTGGCTTCGGACCTTCAAGAATTCTCAAAATTTTCGCCTGCGGCGCTGAGAAGGGAAGATTTTTGGCTTTTTGGCGTTCCAAAATTCTCAAAATTTTGGCTTTTTTCGACCCGAAACCCGATCCGAAGAAAATTTTGAAAACCCGATCCGAAACCCGACCCGACTTTTTGCTCAACCCGAAACCCGATCCGAGAAAAATTTTGGAAACCCGACCCGAAACCCGACCCGACATTTTTCTCAACCCGTGACATCCCTGGTATACATTCTGATACAATAAATTTTTAATCTAATATTTTTGTTCGTTGGATAATACTAATGTTTATAAGTAGGCTGGGATTTACAGTAGCCGTTTCAACCACTTTCCCTCGAGTCTTGAGTTTAGGAAAAATTTCCGGTCTTGGGTGTTAAATTTTTAGTGTTTGCCTTTTTTGTATTTCGAAATACATTGTCTTAAATTTCAAAAATCTACGAATGTTTGAGTTGATTGTGTATTGTGTTCAGTAAAGTGTAAGTGTCCAGTCCACATAGTGTTCACTGATTAAACTACGCACTGTAATCAATGAAGAGTTGATGGTAGTAAAGTATTTTGACAAAGACAGGATGTAAATGCCATCCTTTGAATGGACACTGGAGTTGAGTAACAGTATTGAACAGGCCCGTAACCAGGGGGGGGTGAGGGGGGGAATTCCCCCCCCCCCCCCGAAATGGGAAAAAGGAAAAAATTTGGGGAAGGGCTGGGGCAAAAAAGTGAATTTTTTTGGCCTACGGCCTTCGAAATTTTCAAAATTTTCGCCTGCGGCGCTAAAAAAGGACGAAATCTGGCTTCTTGAGGTCCAAAATTCAAAAAATTTTCGCCTGCGGCGCTGAAAATCAAATTTTTGGCGCCTGCGGCGCCGAAAAAGTGAATTTTTTGGCCTACGGCCTTCTAAAATTAAAAAAATTTTCGCCTGCGGCGCTAAAAATAAAAATTTTTGGCGCCTTCGGCGCCAAAAATTTGGCGCAATAAAATTTCCCCCCCCCCGAAAAAAAATCCTAGTTACGGGCCTGGTATTGAACATAGAGCCATATTCAAGTACACGGGGATTTTACTGTTTTTAATTTTGGATACTTGCTGGGATTATTTTTAGGGTGTACATTATGATCCGCAAAACATTCGAACTTCCAACTTACTCTTTAGATCTCTCTGAGACTAAAATCGAATTAAAAAAAGGCAATTACCCATGTTTGAAAGAAACTACCCAAAGTGTCACTCTCTTCAACCTTTATTTGATTTTATTCTCTACCCCTTTTCTTCCCTTTATTATTTTCTATTTTTCTTGCCTAATGCAACGAAATAAATTTTTTTTGCTGTTGGAGAGAGATGTGTTTGTTTGACATAGAAACGGGCGTGCACGAGAGATGTGACTATTAAATATTTTGGAGTGTTGCCACTCGTTTAACACAGCCATCTCTACAAAGAGTTGGGTAGTACATACATACTAAATAGACTTTTTAACCTCCACACATTTTTGTTTAAAGTAAAAATTCTTTAATTTATAGTTTTTTAATAAATCTATGGCTTCAACTTCTAATAATTCTCGCAATTGTCCAAAATATGCAGTAGTACATTTACCTGAAGGAACTAATGTTCTTAATTTCTACCAATTATTGGTAAAGTTTTCAAATTTATTTGTTAAACTAAATCTTATCCAACATATTAGTAAAAAGGCCGAACCCATGTAAGAAAATTGCAGAAGATGGGTAGAGCCGTAGCTGGGTTTCATCTAACAATGAAAATAATATTTTTATTAGAAAAATCGATTTTCTAGGATGTGATTTAAGAAATCGCATTTTTGTGGTTTTTCTTGATTAATCCAGCAATTAAAAATTAATTTTGTTAAAGTTTCAATAGAAAGTCCAGTGTAATTATCATAGGAAATTTAGAGTTACAGTAATATCCCTATAATTTTCTTTTCACTTTCACCTCAGTTGTCTAATGGTTTTTCTGAAGTTTCTTTTGTAAATGCAATTCGAGAAAATGCTTTTTTGCCATCAATTATGGGAGGGAATAGTGGTAGTTTAACTTCAACTGGACACAAAAATGATTTGGCAAATATAAATATTATTCCAACAAATGAAACGACAAATCCAACAATTGAAAAAGTTGTTGATTCTGTAGCAAAAATAAGGTACAGATAAAGAGATAAATTGGATTAAATAAAGGGGAGAGATTTAAATATAGAAGAATACGGGGGGGGGGGGGGTTTAAAGGATCAGTTCAAATTAAATTATTCAAATAAATGGACGGATGATTCACCTACGATATTTAAAACGCTTAGGCGGGGATTAAACTATCTAAAAGGATAAAAGAGAAAGCATTAGTCTTTGCTCCGGTAGCTCACAATCAGTGGTAGAGCTCCTTTATGTGGTGAGCGAAAGCGCCTAGCAATAACTACGAGGAGGTCGCAGGTTCGAATCCTGCCCTGCGGCTAAACATTTGCTAAACACTTTCCTAAAATCCATAACTTTAAAAATTATTCTTGGAGGTCAAAAAAGTATATCCAAACACACATTTAAGTAATCCAACATTTACTATTTCTTCATCTCCAATTCCACAAATAACAATAAATAATGGCCAACAACAACAACAGAAAGAAAAAACATTAAAAGACATAGCCTTAATTAAAATGTTTGGAGAAAGAAATTTATTAAATGAAAACCAGCAACAAAATGTTTTAATTAAAACAAAAAATAATAACAATATCCAAACAATTTGTGGAATAAAGAAAAATAATATTTTGCCGATAATTAATGATAATAATACAAATTCTGTTGATTTTTATTCTGTTTGTGCTTTATGTAAAAGCAGACTTTTGTGAGTGGATTTTTTGTAAAAGAAAAATATTTTAGAGGACAAATTTATCTTAAATATATTTTTCCTAATTGAATTTAATTACTTTTGATGATTATTTGAAATCTCTCAAGGAGGGTAACTATCGTATTTTCTCGGTTAATTCCCCTCCCTCGAATAATTCCCCCTGCTACGGATGGGTTGAAGCAATAATTCCCCTCTCCCAAATAACCTACCGCACATTCAAATTTTAAAACTCGAATAATTCCCCATGCCATGGATGGGTTGAAAAAATACTTCCCCAGCGGAATTAATTGAGAAAATACGGTAATTGAGAGAGCCTTATACCCCAATTCTTAATGGATATATTTAATTAATTTCTCAGATCTACCCGCCTTAGCAATCTTGTAAATCACGTTCGTCGACATGCTACAATAAAACAATATAGGTGTAAAGTTTGTAATTATGAACATATAGAAATGGGAAAAGTTCGTTTACATATGTTAAAAGCACACAAAGATTCGAGTTCGCCTGTGGATAGATTAAATTTTGAAATGCAGATTGAATGGGGAATGTTGATGGAGAAATGTTTTCCAGAACATGCAAAGGTAAAAGAAGGGAAAGGATGGATCTATTAAATGTTTTTATTTTGTGGCGTACCTCTGGCGCAGTCTTTTCTATTCTAGTGCCACAAAGCATTTAAATGTCAAACTTTTTTTTAAAAATTACTCTCGCGGGAGAGATTTCGCAAAAGTAACATCGAAAAAAGCTTTCGTCGTTGCGGAGGAATCCGGGCATAGAGCAGAGCGACGCCGCGAGCGAAGCACGGCTATCGTGTAACGTAGACTGCCTACCTCCCTCCATCGAGCACAAAAAACAGTTTCCTTCTCCTATCCTCCTCCATATCCACCTCCAGTTTTTCGTATTCAATTTTAACTAAATATTATTTTTAGAGATTTGGTTTAACATCAACAGCTACAAATTCTCCTCGGAATTCAGAAAATATACAAAAATTTATTGACGTAAATCTAAATTATACTTGTACTGTTTGTGGTGAATTAGTGATTGGTAGTCAATTAATTAATCATATAGAGGATATTCACAATTCTGAATGTATTGACTTTATTTGTGGGGAATGTGGATACGAAAATGAATCCAAAAATAATTTAATTTTTCATATAAAGTAAATTAAATGAATATTTTTAAATAAATTATTTTTATTTTAAAGTTCCCAACATAAAGAGAAGGCAACCAAAGTTATTTTGGAACAAAAGAAAACTACAAGGAATTTTGTGCATTTTTTAAAGAAATTTTTTGCAAATGTTGGTGGATATTTAAAATTAAATTAATTAATTTTTAATTTAATTTTTAAAGGTTAATATTCCCAATCGAGAAGAGGGTAATTCAAAATATTTGTTAGAACCTGAAGAAATTGGTGAAGGGAAGGAAAAAGAAATTAAATTGGAAGGGCAATTAATTAATTTAAGTGAAGATGAAGAAGAATTAAAATTGGAATTGGAAGATAATTTTGATAATTATTTGGAAGGAGAGGAGGGGGAAGGGGGAGATGGAGGAGAGGAAGGAGGAAAGAGAAAAGAAGAAAATAATAATTTAAATATTTTGGAATGTTGTTCTAATTTAATTTTAAATGAACAAAATAATGAGGTAGAGAAATAAATAAAAATAATTATTTATTTAAAATTAAAATTTAAACAGAAAATTCTTTCAAATGAAATTAAAGAAGAAAAAATGGATGAAGAAGAAGAAAAAGAAATTATAATAACACATTCACCCCCTAAAAAACAAAGAAAGGAGCAACAGCAAAATATTACTTTACGTCAAAGTAATAGAGTTTTATTAAAGCAACAACAAAATGAGAAAAAATAAAAGTTTTGAATTGAAAAAGGAATAAATATTTGGAATTGTTTTTAAATTATGTTAAAAATAAATGAATATTCTTTATTTAAAAATAAAGACTTGTTACTATTTTATGGGTAACTATTGTCTTGTTTTTATAAAATTAGATCCGGTATATCCTTTCTAGTACTAACTTTATGATTAATTTAATTTAAATTACCCTCAAAATTAGCGGCTTCAAATGTTGTTCATGTTTTTATTTTATTTGTTAAAAATCATTTAAGTTTGGACGTAATCGAAAAAATCTTATGAAATTCAATCCACAACTCGCAATTATACTTTTATCCGCACCTCAATCCTTAATTTAAAATACTCCACAATTTTACTACAAGTTTTTGAATAAATCTTAAAAAAATTTCTTTTCAAATTGAGGGAATACGAATATTTTTGAAAAGCTTCGTTACAATTTTGTGATTTTCCTGAGTCTTTATCTCGGCCTATCGTTGAGACCGCCGTCTAGTTTTTGTTTTATTCGATTCAACTTGATTGAGCTCTTTCGAAAGACAATATACAATTCGGCCTAGTTGAAGTCTGCTTGCAAATAAAAAAAGAGAGGAGTCCCCCAACATTAATTCAATTTTTAATTTTTTTTTGTAAATATTTTTGGTAATCTTTTTTATTTTAAAGAATTTATTTTCCTTCTAATCGATTTTTCGCGCTATTTTTCTTTTATTTTTGAATGAAAAATTAATAAAAAAATATTTTTATTTATTTATTGTTTGTCTTTAAATTTATTAAATAAATAATTTTTAAATTTATTTTCTCAAAAAAACTTTTTATTAAATATTTCGACATATCTTATCCAATTTATTAATAATACTTTCAAATTTCAGTCATTTTTTGTCTATTTAAATAAAAAATGTTTTTAAAAAATAATAATTTATATTTAATTTCTCTAATTCTTTTATTTTTAAATTTATTTATTTATTTTGATATTTTCTCTATAAATATTAAAATAAATTTTGAAAATGATGGAAATTTTAATTTTAATGATGAAGGAATAAATAAAGCTTTAATTAATGGAATTGAAGCAATTAAATATATGTATGATTCTCAATTGGGGAAAGCTGAGGTTTTAAAAAATTAAATTTTAATTAATAAAAAGAATTAGGGAAAGAATTACATAATTTAAATAAATATTTTCTTATTTTTATTTATTTGATAGTTGATAATTATTGTTTAACCTCTCGTTATAGAATGGGGAAGGGGGCAATTATTTGAGAAATGGTAGTTATCAATTATATCCGATAATTAATGAAATCAACCTTGTGGCTGCTCATAAATAAATAAAATCCCCTTTTTCCAATTGCTTATACATAATAGTTAAATTTAGGTAGCACTCCGTCCCTCGAAGCCCCGACCCGAACTCCGAAGACTACTTCGACAAACCCCGATCCCCGACGATCCCGCCCTGAAGGCCCGGGGTGCTACCCTAGTTAAATTAAAGATTCAAAATTTCCATTCTTGTCTAACAACCTTTTTTAAAGGTTTCAGATATTATTGAAAATGTAAAAAATAATAATTTAATTAAAAAATGTCCATCAAAATATTTTTACAAATCAAATATTTTAATTAATAAAATTAATGGAAAATTTACAAAAAATGAGGACTTTTATTTATTTTCTGCATATATTGATAAAAGAAATTTTAATAGAATTCGAATAATTAGTTCTTCATTTAAAAATATTAATTTAATAAAAAATAATAAATATTATTGCCATTTTCATCAATTAAATAAAAATATTAAAAAAGGTTTGGATAATTCTAAAAAATATTTTTTGGGGAATAAAAAAATGTTGAGAATAATTTAATTAAATTAAAAAATTTTTTAATAAGAAAGAGATGATCATATTGAAAATTGATTAAAATAAATTTAAGAAAAAATAAAAAATATCTGGAATTTTACACCAAAAATCTTTTTTTTTGTTTTCCAAATGCAGTCAGACACCTCATTTTATGTGTAAACCCTTGGGGCGAAAAAATACTATATATGAAAGAATCACTTAGGCAGATCCTCCCACCAATCAAATTAAAAAAAATTTACTTATGAAAACTGTGATCCTCTGATATTAAATATGTACTATCGTTTAGATAAAAATTATTAGATTTTTACAATTCTCTGGGCATTAATTCAGATTTTTGACAAAAAATATTTAATTTAAAAATATTTTTATTTCAAAAAATAATTAATTAATTATAGACGGTTATTGGGCAAATAATATTATTGTCGAAGCTAATATTCAATGGATATGGCAAAGAGCCTGGGATCCTAGAAATGAATTTTATAATACTTTTATTATTACTTGTCCGAAAGTTTATGAAGATTTTGAGGTTTAATAGGATAATTTTATTTAAAAAATAATTAAAATTAAAAGACTTCAGCAGTTTATATTTCAAAAAATAATTTTTGTATTTTACCTGATTCTAAAATTAATTTTATTGAAATAAATAAAGAATTAAATAATTATTTATTAAAAGAAGAAAGTGTTGTAGGAACTAAACCTGAAGATATAAAGTAAGGAATATTTGATCAAAAATTAAGATTAAAAAATTAAATTTAGAAAATAAATTAGGTGAGGAAAGGAAGGGAGGGGAAGATAAGTTTATTCAAATTTTAGAGATTAATAATAAACAAAAATGAAAGATTAATATGTATGTAGTCTTTGAGTTTTAATCACATCCAATTAGTGAAATATTTTTTTATTAAATTAAAAAAACATTTTAATGGTAAAATCATCTATTTTACGAATACTCTTTATTTTTTCTTTTTTTTATATTCCAATTTAATTAATTTTAAATAAAAATTAATTGAAAATTTAATTAATTTAGAATAGCAGTTTGCACTAAAGGTCTCTCATTTTTAAATGAATCAGAATTATCTAGTCGATGGATGGCTGAATGGATTGAATTACAGAGAGCTTTAGGTGCTTCGTCCATTGGTGTTTATATTTATTGGGTACCTGATAATGTCCGAAAATTAATTGAAAAAATCTCTGAAAGAAAAAGAGTTGATTTGGTAAGAAAAAGTTTTTTAGTTTATATTTAAAAAATTTTTTAGATGAATTTGGAATTACCCGGAAATTCACCAAATCAACCAATGAGGTATAATATTAGTTATATTAAAAACAAATATAACTATATTTAATTTTAAGCCAACAGAATTTTATTTTGAGAAATAGACAGCAAAAACGACGTCATGAATTAATTCCATTAAATGATTGTTTTTATAGGTAATTAAAAATTTAAGAATATTTGATGGTAAATAATGATAATGATAAGAAAATAGGCAATGAGTAAGACAGAGTAGAAGTAAAGGAAAAGTAAGACAGAGTAGAAGTAAAGGAAAATTTACCCCTGATTTAAGAAAAGTGGTTATTAATAGTTGATGGTTCCGGTTTAATAAAAACGTTCCATAAAACTGAGAACACTGCTGCAGATTTGGGACCTTGGGCTGCCTTTATTAATTTCCTTTATTATTATCCCTCGCTGTTTCCAAACAACTTATTTATTTATTAGATATTCCTCCACTCACCATTTTGTTTTGGTAATAGATACAGATGAAATTGTTGTTCCATTATTACACAAAAATTGGCAAGAAATGCTTTTTAGTATTTTAAATGATGGAAAATGGAATTCAGAACCTTTATCTATTTCAATTAGAAATGTTTATGTTTTTACTCAAAATTCAACTGAAAAAGAGAAAAGTATTTTTAATGAAAGTAAAAGATCTAAAGTTATTCAAGAAAGAGATCAGTATGGAAAAAGTTTTATAAAGTATGTTGTTGTTAAAGGTTTTTGATAAGGGGAGGATATTTGTTTATAATTAATTCACTCAAATTTTATAATTGTTAAAAGTCTAAAAATTAAAGTGAAAGACCGGAAACTTTTCTAAATTTAAAAATAGTAGATGATAATGATCTCCTTTAAAGATCACTCACGAGGAATTTCTCTCCTTTTAAATTTTAAAAAATATAAACTTTCTTTTTTAGTACTCGAAGTGTTGTAAGCGTTTTTAATCATTTTGGGCTACACAGAATTAATTCAAATGTTTCAAAAACTTTTCATGTTCCAGCCAATATTGCATTAAAATATCACTGGAAAAATAAATGCCCAAAATTGGAATTAGGCAAAGAAATATGCCAAAATGTAGAAAATAATTTGACAGAAGGTGAAGATATTTTGGAAAAATTGAGAGAAGAAATTGAAAAAACCATAGAAAAATATTTTTGAATTAATTTAATTATTTTGTGGAAAATAACTTATGTACTATGTATGTATTTCTAAGGAAATTTCATTTGTGCTTTTAATTCAAACTTTTATAAACTTTATTAGATTTATAGAGAGTAATAAATCTTTATTAGATTTATATTATTATTAGATTTATAGGCCCCGGAAAATTCGAAAAATTTAAAAAATGAAAAGAAATCAGTTGGTCATATTGTAGATGCTCAAAGTTTGGATTAGAGATGGCTGATGCTGGGAAATCCACGGATACCCAGAAATTCTTTTCTATTTTTTATTCACTTTTTTCTACATTTGCGTGTTCATACAAATATTACTGGTAGGGTTAGGGTTTCATTATCAAATTCAACTGAATCGGACCAAACAATTTGCATAAACTCATATGTATGTAGTATACCTATAAGGAATGGGTTCGAGAGTTCGAGTACTCACCCAGACAAACTGGCCGTAGGCCCCGAACCCGGAAACACGAATTTGCTCAGTGGATAGAGATACGGAGCTCAGTCCTGTTTAGTGTATTACATTAAAATCTGTTTTTCTATTTTGAAATTTTATGCATTTTGAAGAACTATTTTTCCTTAGAAATTAACTTCTTGCTTAAAGTCTAAAATTCATCCTGAGCTCAAATTTTTGTGACTCACAGCAGACAAAACTCAGACACAAAACTCAGATTTTGGGATTCCGACAATCTTGGTTGTACATATAAATAGGAGTAAATTAGAGTTTCTACATGGATTTGGGTCGTGCTTCAAGACTAAAACCCCGATTATTTGATCGAGAATTGACTTAAAAACTCAAATACATATTTTATAAAATACCATTTTTGTAAAAAATAAAATCATATCATTTTTCTATAGTGAGTAAACGTTTCATAAAATAAATTTTTGTTTGAGAAGACACAATGCCACATATTAATAAAAAAATTCTAAAAAGCTTTCCATCAAAATTAATAAAAATCATCTTGATATTAACAACGACAATAAAAATAATAAAATTTAATGAAAAATAGGGAAAAGATTGTTTACAACATTGTTGATTTAAAAAACATCTTATATCGAATATTAAGATTCACGTGAAAAATAAACATATACGTATGCCACATATACTTCCAACAATAAAATTAAGATAATTTTTTGTAATTTAGTGATAAATATTTCGTGGCAAATATAAAAATTATTTCTTAATTCCGTATATTTAAGCAGAGGCAAATTGTAGAAAAACATCAAACACATTTTAACACATAAACTTGTGTTAAGTAAAAGAATAATATGAAAATAATAACTTTAATTCCGATCTTATTCTCATTAATAAATTCGGTAGTTGGACAAACAACATGTGTAGCACCGACAACTCCTCCAGTTTGTTACTGTACATGTGAATCGACACCTGGAGTGTCATCAACAGCACCAACAACGACAGTAGGGCCAACAGGAACTACAACAACTGGCACACCACTAACCACTGGACAATCAACACCAGCACCAACAGGAACTACTGAAGCTACAACAGCACCTACAGGCAGTCCTGGACCATCTACACCAGCACCAACAGGCACTACCGGTTCATCACCTGGACCAACAACTGGTAACCCAACTGTAAGCCCTGGACCATCTACACCAGCACCAACAGGAACTCCTGAAGCTACAACCGCACCTACAGGCACTCCTGGACCATCTACACCAGCTTCAACAGGCACACCCGGACCATCAACTCCAGCGCCAACAGGCACCCCCGGACCATCTACACCAGCACCAACAGGAACTCCTGGACCGTCTACAACAGCACCAACAGGAACTCCTGAAGCTACAACCGTCCCTACAGGCACACCTGGACCATCTACACCAGCACCAACAGGCACTACCGGTTCATCACCTGGACCAACAACTGGTAACCCAACTGTAAGCCCTGGACCGTCTACACCAACACCAACAGGAACTCCTGGACCGTCTACACCAGCACCAACAGGAACTCCTCAAGCTACAACCGCACCTACAGGCACTCCTGGACCATCTACACCAGCACCAACAGGCACACCCGGACCATCTACACCAACTCCAACAGGAACTCCTGAAGCTACAACCGCACCTACAGGCACTCCTGGACCATCTACACCAGCACCAACAGGCACACCCGGACCATCTACACCAACTCCAACAGGAACTCCTGAAGCTACAACCGTCCCTACAGGCACACCTGGACCATCTACACCAGCACCAACAGGCACTACCGGTTCATCACCTGGACCAACAACTGGTAACCCAACTGTAAGCCCTGGACCGTCTACACCAACACCAACAGGAACTCCTGGACCGTCTACACCAGCACCAACAGGAACTCCTGAAGCTACAACCGCACCTACAGGCACTCCTGGACCATCTACACCAGCACCAACAGGCACACCCGGACCATCTACACCAGCTCCAACCGGAACACCCGGACCATGTACAACATCACCAACAGGTGCACCCGGACCGTCTACACCAGCACCAACAGGATATCCTGAAGCTACAACCACACCTACATGCACACCTGGACCATCTACACCAGCACCAACAGGCACGCCTGGCCCAACAGGAACTTCTGAAGCTACAACCGCACCTACAGGCACTCCCGAATCTACACCTGGACCAACAACTGGTAACCCAACTGTAAGCCCTGGACCATCTACATCAGCACCAACTGGCACACCCGGACCATCTACACCAGCACCAACAGGCACACCCGGACCATCAACACCAGCACCAACAGGAACTCCTGAAGATACAACCGCACCTACAGGCACTCCTGGACCATCTACACCAGCTCCAACAGGCACACCAGGACCATCTACACCAGCACCAACAGGCACACCCGGACCATCAACACCAGCACCAACAGGAACTCCTGAAGCTACAACCGCACCTACAGGCACTCCTGGACCATCTACACCAGCCCCAACAGGCACACCCGGACCATCTACACCAGCACCAACAGGAACTACTGGACCGTCTACACCAGCTCCAACAGGCACACCAGGACCATCTACACCAGCCCCAACAGGCACACCCGGACCATCTACACCAGCACCAACAGGAACTACTGGACCGTCTACACCAGCACCAACAGGAACTCCTGAAGCTACAACCACACCTACAGGCACTCCCGAATCTACACCTGGACCAACAACTGGTAACCCAACTGTAAGCCCTGGACCATCTACATCAGCATCAACAGGCACACCCGGACCATCTACACCAGCGCCAACAGGAACGCCCGGACCGTCTACACCAGCACCAACAGGCACACCAGGACCGTCTACACCAGCACCAACAGGCACCCCCGGATCATCTACACCAGCACCAACTGGAACTCCTGGACCGTCTACACCAACACCAACAGGAACTCCTGCACCGTCTACACCATCTCCCACAGGCACTCCATCGACATCAAAACCAACACACACTCCAAAAACAAAAAAACCGACAACTACTACACCAAAACCAACTACTACACCTAAACCAACTAAACCTAAACCAACTACTAAAAAAGGAAGTAAGATACAAACTAGTTATACTGTAATTTCTTTTTAACAAATCACCGTCCATCTTTATAAAGTTTTCCAAAAATATCGTTATAGTATTATACATAGCGGTATAACTAATTTTAATTAAAAAATAATATTTTATAATTCCCTTTAAAGTGTGCTGCAATTACATGAAATGTCAAGAGTGCAAATACAATCAAAGATGCGACGGAATGAGCTCATATCCCGATCCATGTGTTGATAAATATTGAAAAATGATATATTAAAAAATGAAAATGATATAAATATTTGTTGAAAATAATTTTATTTAACGATCGATTTTCTGTACTTTTAGTTTTTAGTCCTTTCATAAAACTTTTGCTTATATTTTTTTTATCAATTTTAAGGATTTGATTAGTTGCTTCTGCTTTTGGGGACTACTATTAGCTAAACCAGTTTATTCTCTCCCTATTAATTTTTTTTTTCAAATTTTGAGTTTGGTATAATTTAATTTGAAAAATAATTTGTAACATGAACAGTCTAGGGTTGGTGGATCCAGGGAAATCTTCGGATATACGGTTAAAAAACATTCCAGACAAAATATGTACAGTCCGACAGAACAGTCCAGAAAAGAGGTGTTTGTCTGGAACCATTTGCGTGTATACACATTTAAAAATCGGTCGTTTGTATTTATAATTAATCTTTCCTTTATTGATGCTCTCATTGGGCGATGCTACAAGGAAAATTGAGTGAGATCGATGAAGGAAAAATCTTTGGCCATTCCGTGCATGAATCCATATTTATAAAATTTCTCGATCTCTTGTTTCAGAATAACATGGTAAACAGAGTGAAATTGATAGTCTGGTCAAGCCTATATGACAGATGTGCGAGTCGCAAAGCTCAATCACCGCGTTCTCCCTGTAATAATAACCTAATTCTAATGGAAAATAACTAAATTTATCATTTGTGGAATTTTCAGGGTCCAATACTTAAAACGATACTCAATAAAAATAATTAAAACGATACTCCAAAATTCACATTCATAAGTGCTTATTTATAATCATTTTATATAAAAGAATGTTTACAAAATTATATATAATATTTCAACTACATATAAACCTAACAAAAAGGCAATATTTAATTATAATCCACTTAATAATAGATTCCTAAAAATCAACAAATTATAACAAAAACAATAACAAAATTAATATAATTAAATGAAAGATAATTAAGCTACGTTGCGTTCTTGCACGTTCTTCTTCTCGGATTTTTTGTTTTTGTTCTAGCCATTTTGAGTAAGCCATATCCCATAAAAGTTCTTCTCTCTCACGCCATTCTCTGTCAGAAAGATTACTACGAATCTTATCAAATTCTTCTTTATTTTTCTCTTCAAATTCTCTTCTTAATTTAAGCCATAACTTTAAAAATAAAAAATAAATTTAAAAATAGAGAAAAAATTTAACTTGTGCCTAGGGGCTTGGAGTCATAAGGGCGCGGGGCCATTAGGGCGCCAGCACTAGAAACTGACACAGGCGAAACCGAAATTTATGAAAATTTTCTCAAATTTCTTTAACATCATTGACTACCTCCTCCAGAAATTTCAGAATTTATCATCGAATATTTCTGAAGTTATAATCGATAAACCGCGAAAAATTAGGGTTTTTCGGAAAATCACCATTTTTGGCCACAATTTCCGAAATTCTTGATCAAAAATTCTGAAATTTTCGGAGAACGTAGATAAAAGCATGAGAGTCATTATTGCAAAATTTTATCTTTTTTGATAAGCAACTCACTGTTTTATAAGCTCGCGCCCTAATGGCCCAGTCCCGTGCCTAGGGTGATCTACAAAAAAGTAGACAAAGACCAAGACTCGACCCCAACCTAAAAAACTCAAGACTGTCCAGGCAGCTATAGGATGCATAAATACATAATACTATGAGATTCAATTATAAACAAAAAACCATTGTAAAATTTACTTTCAGCCTAAAAATACAGAAAGGAATTAATCAGATTCCTTAGAAATAGTGGATTCTGGATACTATGTTATTAAAGATAATATTACAAAAATTGAGACAAGAATTTTTAATAATTTGAACTAGTATTTTGACTATTGTAAAATAAAAATATAAAATTCAGTTTCAACAATAGCGAAGCTTCATCAAACTACAACAAAATATGCAAAAAATCTGATGTACCAAAACATAAAAAAATATTGAAAGAAAATATGTACACGTTTCAAAAATAATTTTATGTATGCAAGAGGTACATAAAACATCAATGCCACGTATTAACGACAAAAGTTGTTTACAACCTAAAATTTTATAAGATTCGAAAAAAGCCTTTAAGCAAATAATTAAAGATAGAAAAAAGCAAAAGTAATAAAAAAGGCGAAAAGAAGAGTTAAAGATTTGTTAGATAAGTTGAAAAGTTAATAATCTTAAAAATATTAACAAATATTCACGTGAAAAAGGCAAGACAAAAAGCGAGTAACAAAAACTAAGGCGCAAGGCTAATAAGACGCAATCCTATAATTTCTAACAATAAGTAAAAATGATCTATCATGGAAGTCGGTTGGCATCAATCGATAAATAAGCTATAGAATAAACAAGAAAAAAATTTCGCGGATGGAGTCAAACGGTTGCGCCATGAAGTCGTTGTCCCAATATGCCACATATACAACATTAAATTTTTAATTAGTTTTTTCATAAAGAAAGTAAATACGAAGTGAAAACTGAATATAAAAGTAATGGAAAAATGAAAAAAACATCAAATACAACCAAGACACATAATTGTGTTGAATAAAATAGTAAGATGAGAGTAATAAATCTAATTCCTATCCTATTCTCATTAATAAATTTTGTTGCTGGGCAAACAACATGCGGAGTACCAACAACCCCTCCAGTTTGTTACTGTACATGTGAATCGACACCTGGAGTGTCATCAACAGCACCAACAACGACAGTTGGACCAACAGGAACAACAACAACTGGAGCTACACCAGCATCAACAGCTTCTACTGGTCCATCTACATCAGCTGAAACTGGCTCAATTTCAACTGGAACTGGCCCAACTGGAGCTCCAACAGCTACACCAGCATCAACAGCTTCTACTGGTCCATCTACATCAGCTGAAACTGGCTCAATTTCAACTGGAACTGGCCCAACTGGAGCTCCAACAGCTACACCAGCATCAACAGCTTCTACTGGTCCATCTACATCAGCTGAAACTGGCTCAACTTCAACTGGAACTGGCCCAACTGGAGCTCCAACAGCTACACCATCATCAACATCTTCTACTGGTCCATCTACATCAGCTGAAACTGGCTCAACCTCAACTGGAACTGGCCCAACTGGAACTCCAACAGCTACACCAGCATCAACTGCTTCTACTGGTCCATCTACATCAGCTGAAACTGGATCAACTGGAACTGGCCCAACTGGAGCTCCAACAGCTACACCAGCATCAACAGCTTCTACTGGTCCATCTACATCAGCTGAAACTGGCTCAACCTCAACTGGAACTGGCTCAACCTCAACTGAAACTGGCCCAACTGGAGCTCCAACAGCTACACCAGCATCAACAGCTTCTACTGGTCCATCTACATCAGCTGAAACTGGCTCAACCTCGACTGGAACAGGCCCAACTGGAGCTCCAACAGCTACACCAGCATCAACAGCTTCTACTGGTCCATCGACATCAGCTGAAACTGGATCAACTGGAACTGGCCCAACTGGAGCTCCAACAGCTACACCATCATCAACATCTTCTACTGGTCGATCTACATCAGCTGAAACTGGCTCAACCTCAACTGGAACTGGCCCAACTGGAGCTCCAACAGCTACACCAGCATCAACAGCTTCTACTGGTCCATCTACATCAGCTGAAACTGGCTCAACTTCAACTGGAACTGGCCCAACTGGAGCTCCAACAGCTACACCAGCATCAACAGCTTCTACTGGTCCATCGACATCAGCTGAAACTGGCTCAACTTCAACTGGAACTGGCCCAACTGGAGCTCCAACAGCTACACCAGCATCAACAGCTTCTACTGGTCCATCGACATCAGCTGAAACTGGCTCAACTTCAACTGGAACTGGCCCAACTGGAGCTCCAACAGCTACACCAGCATCAACAGCATCTACTGGTCCATCGACATCAGCTGAAACTGGCTCAACTTCAACTGGAACTGGCCCAACTGGAGCTCCAACAGCTACACCAGCATCAACAGCTTCTACTGGTCCATCGACATCAGCTGAAACTGGCTCAACTTCAACTGGAACTGGCCCAACTGGAGCTCCAACAGCTACACCAGCATCAACAGCTTCTACTGGTCCATCGACATCAGCTGAAACTGGCTCAACTTCAACTGGAACCGGCCCAACTGGAGCTCCAACAGCTACACCAGCATCAACAGCTTCTACTGGTCCATCTACATCAGCTGAAACTGGCTCAACTTCAACTGGAACTGGCCCAACTGGAGCTCCAACAGCTACACCATCATCAACATCTTCTACTGGTCCATCTACATCAGCTGAAACTGGCTCAACTGGAACTGGCCCAACTGGAGCTCCAACAGCTACACCAGCATCAACAGCTTCTACTGGTCCATCTACATCAGCTGAAACTGGCTCAACCTCAACTGGAACTGGCCCAACTGGAGCTCCAACAGCTACACCAGCATCAACAGCTTCTACTGGTCCATCTACATCAGCTGAAACTGGCTCAACCTCAACTGGAACTGGCCCAACTGGAGCTCCAACAGCTACACCAGCATCAACTGCTTCTACTGGTCCATCTACATCAGCTGAAACTGGCTCAACCTCAACTGGAACTGGCCCAACTGGAGCTCCAACAGCTACACCAGCATCAACTGCTTCTACTGGTCCATCTACATCAGCTGAAACTAGCTCCACTGGAACTGGCCCAACTGGAGCTCCAACAGCTACACCAGCATCAACAGCTTCTACTGGTCCATCTACATCAGCTGAAACTGGCTCAACTTCAACTGGAACCGGCCCAACTGGAGCTCCAACAGCTACACCAGCATCAACAGCTTCTACTGGTCCATCAACAACAGCTGAAACTGGCTCAACTTCAACTGGAACTGGCCCAACTGGAGCTCCAACAGCTACACCAGCATCAACAGCTTCTACTGGTCCATCGACATCAGCTGAAACTGGCTCAACTTCAACTGGAACTGGCCCAACTGGAGCTCCAACAGCTACACCAGCATCAACTGCTTCTACTGGTCCATCGACATCAGCTGAAACTGGCTCAACTTCAACTGGAACTGGCCCAACTGGAGCTCCAACAGCTACACCAGCATCAACAGCTTCTACTGGTCCATCTACATCCGCTGAAACTGGCTCAACTTCAACTGGAACTGGCCCAACTGGAGCTCCAACAGCTACACCAGCATCAACTGCTTCTACTGGTCCATCGACATCAGCTGAAACTGGCTCAACTTCAACTGGAACTGGCCCAACTGGAGCTCCAACAGCTACACCAGCATCAACAGCTTCTACTGGTCCATCTACATCCGCTGAAACTGGCTCAACTTCAACAAAAAGCTCAACTACATATAAACCATCTACAACTCGCAAACATAAACGTAATTTTACTTTAACTAAACTAAAACAATTATCCTTTCCCTTTAAAGCATGCTGCAATTACATGGTATGCAAACAATGTAGTTATAACCAATATTGTGGCGGATTTGATAGTTACCCCGATCCATGTGTTGATAAAGATAACACTTATAAATATTAGATAACTATGTCTTAATATATGTAGCACTCTATTACAAAAAAGTAGTTTTTAGTCTGATAAAATTTTAATTATTTTTTGCTTAATAAACTATTTACAATAACTTAATATTTTCGATAAATGGAATTATATGTATTAGGAACCGAAATCCGTTACACATAAGGCAATGAACCCATCCTATCCCCAGTCTTGAGTCTTGGTATCTTCCGAAGTTTTTACGCTGCGAAGAAAACAGGGTATGTCAAGCGCGAATTTTAATAAAAGAATTCCCACCTCATTCAATTCTTTTTCTTCCCTTTTTCTTCTTTCAATTTCTTCTCCCCATTCCCATTCCGCCCATTGTCTTCTTTTTTGTTCCTGATCCCATTGCCATCGTTGAAAAGGTGAAGAACCTGAAGGTGGTGGTCCTCCAAAAATGTCATCAAAAGGAGAAAATGGGCGTCTTCTTTGTCTGTCAGATGTTGCTCCAAATTGCCATTTCCATTCCTTTTCCCATTCCTGATTTTTAAATGGAGGACGAGGATGAAAATCTGTGCTCCATGTTGGAGGTTGTCCAGTTTCTCTACCAGTACCTGGCCTTTCTTGAGAAGTGCCAAAACGTAATTGTCTGTCATATTCTCGACGTTTCTGAAAGAAAAAATATTAAATCAAAATTTTATCCCAAATGGTAAGACACCAAAATCTGTTTGATTTGATTACTTTGAACAAAATTATGATACGGAATCTTCTTTGGAAAAACTGTTTATATGCTGGAGGGTAAGGGTCTTCGCGACACGATGCAGCAGCAAAAACTTTTTTCCGCGGAGGCCTTATGTGAGGAGTCACTTAAAACAAATGGGCATAACTTTGCAAAGTTCAATCAAGGAGATTTTTGTGTCATTCGACTTGTAAGCTCGATGATCCCCTTGGAATGAACTATTATTTGTTATTCAAATTTTCACCTTAAAAAATCAGCATGGTCCCACCTCCATGGTTTTTTGATTTTTAGGGTTTGTAGATTAGGGGACAAATTTAAAATTGAAAAACGGTTTTAAATTTTCCAAAAAATATTATTCTAACGTTAAATAAATAAAATTTAGTTTTTCCTTTCTTTTTAGCCGAAAAACCGACGAAATTCTACATGTGTAAAGGAGATATTTAAATCTAAAATTATTGACTAATTTAATAGTTATCCCCTAATATAGTCGTTTAATTCTAATTTAAAAAATAACTAAATACTTGTTCATCCTTCAATGTTTCATAAGCATTAGAAATTTCAACAAATTTTTTGTTTGATGCATCACTTGAACCGGAAACATCTGGATGATACTTTAAAAAAATAAATTTATTTTAAAACTTTACAAAATCCTAACCCTTTTAGAAAGTTTGTAAAAAGCACTTTTTAATTCTGTTTGAGTTGCATTTTGACTAACTTCAAGAATTTCATATAAATTTTTTTGTCCAGAAGTGCCAAAAGATCGTTGAAAAATTATTTTTCCAATTCTTTTATTAATTAATTCTCCAATATTTGATGTTGAATAAAATCTGCTACAACAAGGAACTACTTGAAATGTTTCCACAAAAATTGAGATTGCATTTGTAAATAAAGTAGAAGCTTTTTTGTTGTTGAAACAACGAATTTTTAACATCTAATTAAAAAAATTTTAATATTTTTTGACAAAAACATGGCAAATTAAAAAAAATTGGAGAGACTCCAATGGATTAATTCTGAATAAGACAGAGAAAGTAATTGAAGAAAATAGTATGTTATATTTTAAATATTTACTCTTTTGGCGTTAATTTATTTTAATTTTTTCTTGGCATTTTGTTTTATTTTTCTAATTTTTAATGAAAAGGTGACACGTTTTTTAATTGCATTTTCTTATAGAATTTATGGATTTATTATTAAATTTTCTTAAGCAAAATCATGTAAATGTGTCTAAAAAATTTTTTAAATTAATTTTGGTAATAGTGTCGTTTCCCGGCCCCATTTTTTCCTCCCCAATTTTTTACCCTATGTTTGTACGGAATGGTCAAATTTTCCCCTTTCTTTCATCAAATTTGCCTTTCCATATTTTGCCTAAAAACAATCAAAAAGATTAATTTTTATTCAGTTCTTTCACAAGGAGAAACACCAAGCATGAAAAATGTTTTCTGGCTATTATAGAAGGAAAAAAAGTCTTCTCATTACTCTAATACTTTTTTAAATATCACAAATTAATCTTTTTGATTGTTTTTAGGCAAAATATGGAAAGGCAAATTTGATGAAAAAAAGGGGAAAATTTGACCATTCCGTACAAACATAGGGTAAAAAATTGGGGAGAAAAAATGGGGCCGGGAAACGACACTATTACCTTAATTTTTAACAAGAAATTTAGAAATGAATGTTCGAAACAAAAAGATTTCTATTGTGTTAAAATCGACATTACTCGGTAATGGTTTGCAAAATGAACAATCTATAAAGCAAGTGAATGAAGAAAAGATTCCAATAAATAGAATTGAGGTAATAATAATTGAAACTAGAGTAGCTCCCCGTACCTTGACAGCGACGATTTTTCTGGCAAAAACCCCGACCCAGGCAAACCCCGATCCGTGGGAGCTACCCTATTTAAAACTTTACCTTTGAAAAGTTTCGTAAATATAATATAAATAATATTTTTTTATTTTTTTTAAATTTTTAATAAAATTTTAACTTTTAGAAAATTAGCAAAATCCAAAATTCTGTATCCTCCAACGAAGATTTCCAATTAACAAAAAGTGTTAAAAACACTAATTTTATTAAAAATGACAATCAAATTGGTGACAATATTAAATATGAAGAAGAGTCTCAAACAAAATCTTCCCCTCGTTTTTTGCCTTTTGCCATTTCTCGTCAACAATTAACCCCTTCATCTTCAGCTACTTTAATTAGCAAAAGGTATTTTTTTCTTTTTTGAAATTTTTACCATAAATTGGGCTAAAGGGGAGTTTTTGTGTTTGTGAATTTTCTAGAAAAGATTTTGCTCTAAAATTTCGAAATTTTAGTTTTTGACATTTGCTCTGTTGCAATCAGGTAAAAACACCTAAAAAAGAGTGTAAGACTCGTAAATGAAAATTTATTTTTAAATAATTGTTTTGAAGGTTTTCCTGACGCGTCTTTCAAAGAGGTTGGGAAGGGTTTTTTCTTTGTTTTTATTCATGTTTCCTATTTTTTGAGCTTATTTCCTTTATTAAATGATCGAAACCTTAATATATTTAAAGTATTTTCTGAAATTTTTTTTTCAAAATTTTCAGATTTTTTGAGCAGGTAAATGTAAGTTTTGATCCTGGTTCTTGTTAATTAATTTTTACGTTTTTTAATGAATAATTAAATTTATTGACCATTTAAATTGGTCAACCAAAATCTTTTCTTATTTTTAAGCAATACAACAACAACTAAAAAGCAAAACGAAGAAAGTGTAAAATCTGAAGAGGAATTGAAGAATGTTAAGGAATTTTCTTCTAAACGCCCTTCTCGTCAACGTACTACTTCCGTCGAAACATCAATTTCGAATAGTCATAGTTCAAAATCTTCTCACCGCTCTTCTCATTCTTCCTCTTCAGATTCTTCAGCATCTTCTAATCGACGTTCTTCCACTTCAAATTCTTCTAGGAATTCATCAACTTCACGTCGTTCTGATTCGTCAACAGAATCGTCATCAAGATCTCATTCACGGCGCTCATATAGAACAAGCAGGTATAGCCGTCGGAGAAGACGAAGTAGCAACAGAAGTTCTAGCAGGTATAAAAATTTTTATTTTTGTGGCTTTCTTCGGCTACAAATTTCTCTTAGGGTCTATTTTATAATTTTAATTTTTTTAGTGAAAGATATTCGCGGAGACGTCGCCGATCTTCTTCAACTAGAAGGTATCGATTAAAAAGGCGACGCTCTTATAGCAGGGATAGAAGTTATACAAGATCTTCAGTCAAACGTTCTAAAAGATATTCATCGACTTCGTCATCTTCTAGAAGCTCAAGTTCCTCATCTTCGTCTTCTAGGTTTTTTTTTTATTTTTTCAAATAAATCTTTTTTTGAAGTTCCTCCTCTTCACAAACTTCACATTCTGAGAAATCATCGGCCTCTTCGACACATAATTCCTCTACTACATCTATCGGTTCAAAAAAATTGGTTGGCACGAACAATTATCAAAAGGATGAGAGAAGTGAAGAAAAATCAAAAGATATCAAGAAGGAGACGAGAAATGATATAAAGGAAGATAAACTTGAAGAGAGGAAGGAAGAAATAAAGGAAGATAAAGCGAGTAGCAAAAGTGGTGATTCCATGCCTTATTCCTCAGAAGACGAAGATGACCAACAGGAATTTGTAGAAGAGAAGGAAAATGAAAAGATTAAGGTAACGGATAAAAATCAGGAAGTAGAAAATGACGAAAACAAAAATGAAAAGAATAAAGGAAAATGGTTACCAATTGGTTTTGAGAATTTAAAAAATGAGAGTAATGATGATAAAAATGTGAAAGATGAGACGGATGAAAGTGAAATGTCTGATCATGAAGCAGAATTGGTGCGGAAAAATAAGCAAATTAGGTTATTTTGAACGTTTTTTAAATTTTTTTATAAAATAATTTTTAGAATTAAAGAACGTTGGGAGTTGCTAAAGTATCAAAAACAAGTAATCCCTCAGACATCAAATAATTTTGAATCTAATGAATGGAGTGAAGAAAGAGAGAGGGAATTTGTATTTAGCTTGCTTGAATAGAAAATGATATTTTATTTTGATATTTACATTTTTCTATTAGATCAAATCTGATTTTTTAAGATATTTGTGAAAGCTGAGAATGTCCCTGAAATCTTTATATTAGATAGAGATCAAACAAAATTTTGATTTTTGTTTTCTTGTTAATTTCGATCTCTATTTAGTTTTTGGCTAAAGGTCTTGACTATTTGTCATTTTGACAAGTTTGGTTTGTAATTGGATATTACTATTAGTTTTATATTTAATTTTTTATTTTGATAAAATTATGGGTTTTTTAAATTTTGTTTAGTTTTTATGTTAATTTCAATTTTTATTTTTTAAATTAAATATTTTCTTTTATTTAATTAAGACAACAAAAAAATAAAAATGGAAGGAGACTCAATTGATAGTTTAGCTACTTCGGCTGAAGAAATTTTTTCTGATGGGGAAAGCATTGATGAAGAATTGCCTACTTCTTCAAATAAAGTTTTGGATGAACGTAGAGTTGAGTTGTCAGATAGTTGTAGTCTTCAGGTTTTTTGTTTAAGGTTTGTTAAATATTTTACCCTATTTTTCAGAGTTCTGGTGAAAATAACTTCCGCAGAGGCAGGTTAAAAAAATTATTTCAGTATGATGCTCACAAGGATATACCATATGAAGAACTAAATAAAGGTTTTTTGTTTTTAAAATAGTTTCTCTATGAGCATTTTTGTTTTCAGCTTCAAAAGATGTTTTAGACCGAGCAGTTGAATACATGCAATTATTCTTGATTCGTTATCAAGCAGAGCATGCTGGAGTTGATGTATGTTTTATTTTTCTATTTCATACTAACAATAAGCTAGCTAAATTTTATTTTTAGTTACTTCGTCGTATGCTTTTGGCTGCTCGTCTTTATGGTGCTCCTCTCCAACGCCTTATTCAATTTGCCTTGTCAATACATTTAAAGTACATTCCGGATATCCCTCATTTTTGTTATAGGCCAATCAATATTAAAATTTTGTATTTTTTAATTTTTAAAGATTTTTTTTATTTTTTCGTTCAGTTTTGATGAGATGAACGAATTGGAAAGACGTTTTGGACATTTTCTTTGGGATTTATTTTTTGTTTATTGTCGACCTTACCTAAAAAGGTTTTATTTTTTTGGGAATAATTTTTAAATAATTTTAAGGGAAGAGATAAGACTTCATCGAATATTTTTTCGTCGTCAACTAACTTCTCTTGTTATTAATTTACATAATGCTGCAATGAGGAAAGATTGGCCGACAGTTGCTGATCGTTTAGGTTTTTCAAGGGCTTATCGGTCGCAAGTATTAAAAATTTACCAATTATTCCAGCTTCAATTCCTGCATTTCCTTCAAAACAACTTCCTTCAAGAAATCATTTTGAATTTTTTAATCACGCAATGGGCCCATATTTTCCTTCATTTTATTTACTTACTTTACAAACTTTACTTGAAAGTAAGCAACAAATAAAGAATTTGAGTTCACAATATGTTAAAGTATGTAGGTATTTTTTATAACTTATTTGCCATAGTATTGAATATAATAAGTGGAATTATGGTTAAGTGGGATAATTCACAAGTTTCGGCGCTCAAAGCGGCTAGCTTTTAAGTTAAATTAACTGTTAGTCGCGAGCATGGCTGCCGTATATTAAATTTACACCAGTTAGTTTGATGCGTCATTGTTGTGAGACATGATTGGCGTTATCAGGCAGGACGGTGTTACACCCTTTAAAATGATTTTTAAGTTTTTTGTATTTTTCGAATATCCTATTTTATTTTTGTTATTATTTTAGGCCTTTAAAGCTTTTAATTCTACTTGTTCTGAGCGTCATATTTGGATGGATAACTCGATGTTTTACTACTCACAGCTTCTTATTTTTCATTTATGCAATTTTAAATTGGAGAAGACTGGACCAGTTTTGGCTGGGCAAAATGTCAAATTGCAAGGGGATTCTCGGGTATAAAATTCATTTTCATATAGCTGGGAATTTTGTAATTTTTCCTATGGTGCAGGCTTTTCGATTGTGAACCTGTAGAAATCATAGCCTTGTTTATTTTTAATTTAGTAAATTTTTATGAACAAATCAGAAAATTCCTTACTTTTAATTTTTTAGCATCGCCGTTTAATTCTTTTGCTCAATTATTGCATCGATTTTGAGAAACATTTTCTTTCATTAAAAAAAGATAGGTTTGAACGAATAAACACAACAAAACTAGAAATGGATGAGGACAATACATTACAAATACGAGTATAGAAAATGTATAAAAATTATTTTACACTTTTTTTTATTTTTAGGATCGTTCTTTATTATCAGGATTTTCTGGCTTTCTTGATGTTTTGTTTGAAGAACCTACAACAATTGTTGGCCTTTTACCTTTAGCAGTATTTTGTGCAATACAATTTGACTGTTTAGAGGCAAATTAATTTTTGAATTTAAATATATTTTTGAATTTGAGGATTTAACTGAAAAATTATCTGAAGAGTATATTCGCTATCCTTTTTTATTAATCCATGTTCACAATGTTTTTGCTCATTTTAAACTTCATCATGTTGTTGGACAAATGCTTGACAGAGTTAGTTTGGCATTTACTTTATTGATTGATTTCTCGATAGTTGTTTGAATTGTCTCTTGAAACTTTATCTGCTGAACCGTTCATGTTAGATTTAGTTGAGCAACGTTCACTTCAACCTTCAAATTTTGGTCAATTTGATAATGTTGTTAGTGGAAATTTACGTTTTCTTTTTATGGTATGTTTAATTTTTATTTTACTATATATGAGGTTTTTGAGACCCTTAATAATTATTATTTCCTCTTTCTCAAACATGTATTAGGATGGTTCATTGGTTTACCTCCATGTCCTGCGAAGCCGATGACGATTAAATAAATTAATAAAAATGAAAAAAATTATTTTAACCAAAATTATTCATTTCTGAGTTTAAACGATTAACTCAAAGAAAAGAATTTAATTATTTAAAATTTTGGATAAATAACAATGTCCCCATTTAGGGTTCACGGTTTCTAAGAGATTGGCCGTGATCCAAAGGCGAGGGGCAACATTTAAATTAACTAAATGATTTTAAAAGGCGAATCTGAGGCTTCTTTTTCCAGTAAAATTATTATATTTTTAGGTTTGAAAATTTTATTCTTTTTAGTTTCTAGATTATGGCCGCAATAGAGATAACTCTCGGGCTTGGGCACTTCTTTTTTCCAATTTGTGTTATATTGAAAATAATTTCGAATTAGTCACTGCTTTGGTTTTGCCTTATTGGGACAAAAGAAAAAAGTAATTCTGATTTTTAAAATTTAAAATTGATTTTTAAAATTTTCGTTGGTGGCCTCAATTTCATAACCCCAATTGTTTACCACGAGATGCAGTTAAATTAAGACGTCGAATTTTTAGAATATTAAATGAATTAGAAAGTGGTAATAATTGTGATAAAGAGAAAAATGCCGAAAAAGCCTTAAAAATTGCTAAATGATTTAATTTCAAATTTTAATATATTTTTTAATGATCTTAATTATCAATTTGTGATATACTGTTTTTTCTTATAAATTGCCTTATTTTATTTTCCAATTTAATTGTTAAACATTTGAAAATTAATTTTTCATATTTAAAAAAATTTTTTTAATTCTTTTTTGTATTATTAAATATTAAAATAGTATAAAAAATGCTTGTTCAACAAAAGAATCCAAATTTGGTCGAGTTCGTGCTTATTGAATATCCTGGCGTTATTCAAAATGTTGATGCCGCTGTACAGACTCTTGGAGGATTGAGAACTATTTCTGCGGTAAAAAATTAGGGATTTACTAATGCATTGAAATTATAAATACATATTTTTGAATTGTACAGGGTGGGGCAAAAGTTCGGCGACAAATTTTATTTTGTCCTATCTTAAAATTTACTTTATATTTTGCTTTTTGTTTAGATTTCCCATATTCTATGATTCGCGCTCTACAAATTTTATCTTGAAAATTTTTTCCTATCTCATAAAGTAAAAATTTTACTGAATGTTAAAAAATTGTGCTTCTATTATTTCTTTGTATTTTATAAATGTTCGAAAATGTGCATCGCTAGACGGCTCGTTATCTGTCGTATGTTGGTTTCCAAAGCAATAAAACGATATCATGAGCTTGGAAATACTCAGGACCGTCCTAGTAGTGGCCAGCCGGTAACCGAAGTTACGACTGAAAACATCAACGGACGTCAGATGCCGAATTTTCTGTTTTTCTGAACAATTGATGTGAAAAACGGCCTCAGATCTCGGAATGAGCTCGAGGAGCCTCCTAAAAATTGTCAGAGTGAAGCTTAGACTTTGGAGTTACAGGATCAGCCGCTGATATTTCATTAGCAATCGAATGAAGCATAAGAGACTTCAAAAATGTCGAAGGATTAAACGCCTGGTCGCAGCTGGTCGCCATAACAGAGTGATGACTATAAAAATTAATGCTAAAGTCTAAAAAATGACATTCTGAGGTGATTGAGCATCCATGGCCATTATAGCTTCACAGAGAAAACCTATTCTCGCTTCAGCAGGATTGAGCACCCTCGCATGGAGCCAAAACTACAATCCAGCTCTGTGGGGAGCTGTTTCCTGGTTCTTGGTGGAAAGATTTAAGGCCTTCAAACTCACTGGATTTAAGTCATTGGATTATTCTATTTGGGCAATTTTGTAGCAAAAAGTATGCCGAATCCGATAAGCAACATAGGAGGAACTGAAAGATGTTTTGAGCGGGCCTGGAACTAAATAACCGATGAACAATGCGCGACCATTGTGAGTCACAACCGTAAGAGTTTGGACGCGTGTATTTCAGTCAGGAGATGTCAGTTTGAGAAATTGCTTTAATAAAATGTTTATTATATCCTAATAATTATATTTTATCATTTTTTTATGTTAAATAAATTTTTTTCACAATAGATTTTATTAAAAACATTTGTCGCCGAACTTATGCCCCACCCTGTATAGTATTCTACTAAATTTATTAGATCTGAACCAGGGTTGGACGCAAGGGCAATCGAGGAAGGCCCATAGTTCAATAAGCCAGATCTCTTCCATTTTGCCCACATATTAGGCAAATAACGTCCCTTATCTAAACTTAATTTTTGCCTTTTCAATTAAGGTTCTTAAAAATTTCAGGCGCATTTTGCCTCAAATCCAATTGAATTACAATTTCGTCCAGACAATTTATTTCATTCTTCATTAATTGCCGAACGTCGTAATCAAGGTGTTGTATTCTCTGGACATTTAAATTTGGTTATACGTGTTAGAAAACGAAAACAAGAACAACCAGAAAGAAAAGGAGGGGTTCTCTTAGTCAACAAGAAAAGCTGCCTTTAATTGAAGTTAAATGTTTGGGAATGGTTTCTACAGTTTATTCTTTTCGAGCAATTTGTGATTTTCAATATTTACCTTTGAGCAATTTTAATTTAAATGAAAGTGTTGATGAAGCACATATTCGTCATGATTTGGTTCCTATACTTGTTCCAAACGATTTTCTTTCTTCTTTATCTTGGTGGAATGAGGATCATTCTGGATGTAAAATAAATATTAAAAATAATTAAATATTTAATCTTTCCGGTTTTTATAAATATTTTCGAAATTCCATTAGTCTTACGGAAAATTTAAATATTTTCCTGTTATTATTAAACTGCTCCTCTAAAAATTCAAAATTTAAATCTTTTCTTAATTTTTAGCTTCCCAAGCTTCAACTTCTTTAACCTCCAAATTATTTAACGAAGCACATCAATTTTTACCTCCATATCAATTTAGTCGTTACAATCATCCTTCAAAATTTTTGTTACATGACGAAGTTGACCACAAAGCAACGCGGGGAAATGTTGGGCATGGAAAAAGTGATTTTTAAATATTTTTTGGGGAAATTTAGAGAAAAAATTATTTATTTTAAAACTTTATTTCCAAAAAGGCCTTCGTTGTGAACGTAAATCCCTAACAACTACAGTTAATGCAAAGGATCCGTTTCCTGTCGCGCCAAGTGAGGAAGCTTTACGTGACGTTGACTTGAGGCAAATTAATTATTTTTAAATTTTTGTCAAAAAATATTTAGATGTAAAAATCCCGATCAACACCGTATGATGATTGAATTATTTGCTGAACGGCCGTTATGGTCTCGTGTGGCTATTTGCTTTCGTTTAAGACTTCACACAGCTCTTTTAAAGTAAAAGAAGCTGCATTTTAAAAATATTTTGTGAAATTTTTAGAGTAATTTTGGCCAAATATGCATTTTATATTCAAAGTGGGCCTTGGTAAATATTTAAAAAATAAAAGAAATACATATTTTTAATTAAAGGGGCCGTCTTTGGTGTCGTTTTGGTTATGATCCCAGACTTGATAAAGAAGGGAGAAAATACCAATCATTAATGGTCTCGTTTAAAAGAAATCAAGTAAAGAAATGAAATTTTATGGAAAATATCATTTTTTATTTAAAAGTTTATTCCTGAACGTCAACGACTTAAAGCTAATACAACAGCGGCGGGCACTCCATATGGAGAATTTTGTGATTATATTTACAGACCTGGTAATTAAAGAAAATTTGAGAGATTATTTTAGAATATTCTCTCCTTCTTTAGGTGTTTTGCCTGAATTACGCCAAATGTGGTACAGCATTTTAGACATTCAATTGCCTATAGCACAAAAAATATGTAGAAACGATTATTTTGAATTTTTGAGAGAATGTGATCCAGTTACTGGGTGGTTGCCTGCTGTGAGGAATTATTCTCAAAATTAAAAAATAATAATTTCTAGGCCCAACTTAACGCCATTCGTGCTGCATTAAAAGCTGACGTAAACCTAACTTCTACTCGTTTAGGGAATTCAGCAATTGTTGGAGGGGGTGGAGGTGGAAATGAGGAAGAAGAGGATGAAATTGTTGAAGAGGATTTGGAATTTAGTGATGATGAAGATATTAACAATTTTTAGAAATAAATTTTGTTTTTTAAGTTTAAATTAATAAATTTTAAAAATATTCTTTTAAGATTTATTTGAATAATTATTTAAATAAGTATTCTAGACTGGATTTTACATTTTTCTAAAAATAAAATACAGTCGTGGAAAAAAGTATGGAAGCGCTAGAAAATTTTTTCTTAATTCTTAATTTTTCATTCAAAAAATACGTTCTATATACCAATCGAAAGCTCTATTCGTATCTCAGTTGACATGTTTCTGCATTTTTAATGAAAATGAAAATTGGCCGAGATAATCCGGATCTACCGGATATACCAAATCCCACTTTTTCGGAAAAATTTTTCGGAACAAATTTAACAAACCCATTTGATAAAGCATATTTTTATGAGTTTTTACCATAAAACTGCTTAGAAATATCTTTCTCCGGAACGGAGATATGAATTTTTGAAAATGACAATTTTCGTCTATTTTTGCAAAAAATTCAATTTTTAAGCGAAAAATGCCATTTTTAAAAAATCATATCTCTGCTCCGGAAAAAGATATTTCTAAGCGGTTTTGTGGAAAATACTCACAAAAATATGCTTTATCATTTGGGTTTGTTAAATTTGTTCCGAAAAATTTTTCCGAAAAAGTGGGATTTGGTATATCCGGTAGATCCGGATTATCTCGGCCAATTTTCATTTTCATTAAAAATGCAGAAACATGTCAACTGAGATACGAATAGAGCTTTCGATTGGTATATAGAACGTATTTTTTGAATCAAAAATTAAGAATTAAGAAAAAATTTTCTAGCGCTTCCATACTTTTTTCCACGACTGTAGGTATGTAACAGGGATGTGCCAGTTTTGCATTCTCGTCTTTCGATTTTTTATTGACTTCTGATTCGAAAATCTATTTGGCATACCCCTGGTATGTAATTCTAGTCCAGAGAAATAAACATGTATATTTTTATAAATAGACTAAATAAAAATTTATTTTGAGAAGGCACTAAATAGTGATATAAATTACAAAGTAATAAGATTGGAATAATGAAAATAAATGTATTTTGGGGTCACAAAATATGAATATTACATATGAGCATAATTCGAACCTATAAGGCTTTAAAAAATAATTAAATTAAAGTGTTCTCTATAAAATGTCAAAATATTCAAAAACAACGATAATCTTTTTGGATTTTAATTAAGCATGTGCCCATCCTTTAGATCGCCTAACTGCCTCTAGCCATTGTTCATATTCACGGCTACGTTCATTCTCCTCCGATGCTGGTTCGTATGTGTCCATAGAGTGTGGGCGACGTTGGCGAAGGATTTCTCCCAAACTTTGATAACTTTAAATTTAATTTTTTAAAATTTCCCCCTCCCTCCAACAAACTCACTCAATAACTCCAATTCCAATCCCACAAGCCAGCGCTGCTCCCCAACCAGAAATTTCTGTCATTTTTGAACATTCCATTGGAATACCCATAGAATTTGCTTGTAATTTATTAAATAATTTGTTTTGTGTCATTCCACCATCTGCCTAAAATTTTCAAAAAATTTTTTAATTTAATTTCAAATAATTTACTCTTAAAGAAGCAATTTTTATGTCAACCATATCCTTCTGTATAGCATCTAACATTTCGACAGTTTGGAAGGCAACAGCTTTCAAAGCAGCCAAAGCAATATGTGCTCGAGTGGCTGATTGGGTTAAACCACAAATAATTCCTCGCGCTGTTGGATCCCATTGAGGGGTGTACAAACCGGCGAAGCAAGGGACTAAATAAAGGGTAATTTTATAGAAGTTCCGGAAGGCTCTTCCATACCAAAATAAACATCTTCGGTATTTTCCACACTACCAGCTAACTGCTCAATCTCTTCCGTTTTTTCAAAAAATTTCAAATTATCGCGTAAAAAGCGTACAACATTGCCCCCAATTGATCCAGACCCTTCGAGAGCATAATAGGCGGGGGAATCTGATCCAAACTGAAAAAACAATTCTTTAAAAATATTTTTCCTCAAATTTACTTGATAGGCAATAGTCGTTAGTAGTCCATAACCCGAAACTAAAGCTTTCTTTCCAGTATTGCAAAGCATAAAAGTCCCTGTCCCATAAGTATTTTTTGCTTCCCCTGCTTGGAGACAGCCATGGCCGAGTAAAGAACCTTCAAAATATTTTTTTAGAAAAAAATTTAAGGCAAATAATTACTTTGTTGGTCCCCCAAACAGCCAGCTAGAGGAGTGCCTTTTAATGGTCCTTAAAAATATTTTAAATTAAAAAAATCTCTTCTATTTTCCAACCATCTCTCATATATCCATATATTTCAGCAGAACTTCTTATTCGAGGCAATATTTCTATTGGAATATCAAAAAATTCACACATTTCGGGTGACCATTGACGGTCTTGTAAATCCATTAATAAAGTTCTACTAGCGTTTGTGACGTCTGTTATGTACTCCTAAAGAATATTTTTAAGGAGTTGGAAGGGGTCAAAAAATACCGTATCACCCCTAATTGAATTCCAGGAAATTTTACTTTTCAATTACCCTCCAAACGGGCAAGAAAATCGCCCCCAAACACCCTTCATTCTATCAGAGGTAATACGGCATTTTTATTTTTTAATTTAAAAAATTAATTTTAAACATTCAAAACATTTTTTGTCTCTTTTAATCAAAACTTTAATTATTTACCCCCAAAAGATTCCAAATAAGCCAAGTATCCACCGTCCCAACCATTAAAGTACCTAAAATTTATTTAAAAATTAAAAATAAATTTTAATAAAAAATACTTGCCTGCAGAAAGGGATTTTTGTGCAGCTGGGACGTTATCCAGAAGCCAACGTAATTTCAAAGCAGTAAAGTAGGGATGGATAGGTAAACCAGTTTTTGGTTTGAAATGATTTTGGCACCTAAAATTAAATTTAGATTGGGGACAATAAAAAGAAAATTTTCTATTTAATTTTAATTAATCCCTTATTTTAGAATAAATTTTAATTAAAATTAAATAGAGTGGACAAGCGTTTTTGTGTGTGTAAAACCATAATTAATATATAAATATAAATAACTGTTCGATGTATTTATTGATATAATTTTTTTTTAATTTTTTAAATTTAATTTAAATTAGTTTTAAATTTACAATAAATTTTAGTTTTCTTTGAAATTTATTTTTTGAGGATGGGCGATACACTAACCACATATCTTCGACCTTATAGCTACTTTACGATATTATAATACTATAAAGGCTATTAAAGATATGTTAAAACAAAAATTAAAAATAATTTCTTTAGAATATTATCATTTAAATACATCCGAACAATTAAATAAAAATATATATTAAAAAATGGTTAAACACTCACGAAATAACGCTGTCCCTTTCGTACATTTTGAGGTCGAATTTTCTTAAAAAATAATTTTTAATTAAATAGAAAAATTTTCTTTCAAAAAAAACTTACGATCTTTTGGCAGCCGAAGGAGTACCATTCAAAGATTCGTCAACTTTTAAGATATATTTTTTGGCTAGATCGTGGGTTCTACTATCCAACCAAACAATGGCATTATATAAAGGTTCTCCGGTATTTCTATCCCAAATAATTGTTGTCTCTAAAAAGAATTTTTTTGTTTGTTTTTTAATTATTCTCTTTCGAAAAATAAATTTTTGGAACTACATATTCCATTTAATTCTATCAGTAGAGTAATTAACTTGAATAATATATTTTTTCCAAAAACAAGTTAATTCAAAAACGAAAATTCCTGACAATACTTAGTTACATTCATTTCTCTTATTTTTTTAAATTTTATTATTACTTGGAATTCTTGTGGTTGTTAATTTTGGATTCCTTGATGTTACGGGGAATGAGGGGAACTGAATAACATATAGGTACATAGATCATAAATTATGAATATACATATATTCACGGACATATACCTCCATATACTTTCTCATTTTCTAACACCCCTCCCCCCAAATCACCTCTTTGATTTGTAATGCCAACAGCACGGATATTCTCAGGTTCAATTCCACGTTTTGTTTTTAACTGTTCACAGGCGCCGGCAATACAAGCCACAGTTGTTTCAAAAATCTCTTTGGGGCACATTTCTACATAGCCAGACTCTGGGAATTGTTGACGGACTTCAATCTATTTTTTGAAATTTTAGAAAAATTGTTTTAATCTTTCCCGGACCTGATGACTCGCCAATAATTGTCCAGTATCTGATTCGAAAATAAGGAAGCGGCTACTGGATGTTCCTTGATCTATTGCGCCAAGAAGGACCATTTTAATTAGTTTAATTAATTAATTAATGAAGGGGATTTTAGAATAATTATTTTTAAAAATGTCTGAAATGATGGAAAAATAATTAGAAAAAATATAATTAGATTAAATGAAAAACAAAAAAATTAAAAGCAAAATAAAAATAAAATATTAGAGAACTACCTACTATTTTTTATGTTAATTCAAAAAAATAAAAAATTAATTTTCAAAAATTAATTAATTCGCCAAATCAAAAATTAAAATTAATTTCAAAAAATTTATTTCCTCCTACTTTACTAATCATATTAATAAAATAAAATAAAAAAAATAAAAGTTTACTAAGCCAAGAAAATTAGGCGAATCAATTTAATTTAAACTAATTTTTACGCGCATTTAAAGAGAAAAATAAATTAATTGGCAAACAAAAAATTAAAAAAATAAAAAATAAAAATATTTGGGGAAGGGTAAAAGGAAGGAGGGTTTTACATAAAAATAATGTGAATTGAATTTTTTGGGGGAAATTAAAAAAAATTTTTTTTTGATATTTGGGTATTTAAAAAATTATATAAAAGTACAGGTTTTATCATAATTAAATTTAAAATATTTATTAGTGAAAATTAAAAAAAAATTCTGATTGATTTAATAAAGATTAATAAGGGGTAATTAATCAGAATTTAATTTTTTTCTGAGAAATTCTGATATGATTTCTGATTTTACATAAATACAAAAATTCTGTTTTTATTTATAAAAATATAAAAGAGTTCTGATTAATTTTAAATTATTCTGAAAAATAATTCTGATTTATTAAATATACATAGAAATCAGAATATTTGCGTATTTTTATTTTTATATTCTGATCTTTGTAACTGGGTTAGGATAGACATTTATTTGTGTGAATGAAAATAATTTTTCTGATAATATGCTACGTATAAATTAAATATTTTTGTGTTATTAGGGGGTCGCAGTCATCAACAAAAGAGGAAGAACAAGGTACACAAAAATAAATAAATAATTATTTCTTCTTTTTTTTTCTTTTTTTGTCTCATGCTTTGCTTTATTTCTTAATTAATTTATATCATTTATTTATTCAAAAATCCAGTTCCAGTTTTGATAACTATTTGTCCGCAATTTTTTAAATAATTTAATTTTTTTAAAAATTATCCAAAATTTTAATTAAAAATATTTTTAAAAATTAAAATAAATTTTCTAAAAACATTATTTACCCACTCCTGTTAGTCAACAAAATTTTTTTTAATTTTTTGTCCGCATTTGTGGAAATTCTGATAATTTAAGAAAATAAATATTCATAAAAATTAAGACCCTATCTGAAATGAAGTCCCAAATCAAATTTTTTCCATCTTCCTTAAAATGAGTAATTTCCTTTACATTTCTCTCTATTTTTGATTTGTGCCGTAAGGCTATAAATGTAAAAGGATTAACTGAACGTGTGCGTTCGCGTGTTTATGACCGTGTGTGTCCGTGTTTTCTCTGTCTGTGTCCGTCTGTGCTGTCCAGTTCGTCCGTGTTTTGTCTGTCCGAGTTCGTCCGTGTTTTGTCTGTCCGAGTTCGTCCGTGTCCGTGGAACCAGTAAAGGTCCGGAACCGGTTTAGAACCAGTTCAGACAAACTCGGACAGACAAACACGGACGAACTCGACCGACAAAACACGGACGAACTCGGACTGACAAACACGGACGGACTCGGACGGACGCAAACAGAGAAAACACGGACACGCACGGTCATACACGCGAACGCACACGTTCAGTTAATCCTTTTACATTTATAGCCTTACGGCACAAATCAAGAATAGAGAGAAATGTAAAGAAAATTACTCATTTTAAGGAAGATGGAAAAAATTTGATTTGGGACTTCATTTCAGATAGAGCCAAAATTAATATATATTTTTCTATCATTTTATTTATCTCCTTAAATACCCCCTCTCATTCATTGCTCCATTTTCTAACTTGAGGAGAATCAACAAACAGATCGCCCGCCCGTCACAACAAAAATAATATGACTACTATTTTTATTACCCTCCGGGTTGGGTAGCAGCAATATGATGACTTTTCTCTTTCCAAATTTTTAATATCAGAGAAATGCTTCCAAAGAACAAAGATAAAGATGATGTAAATTAATTAATTAATCTAAATATCTCTCCCAAAATTCTTTTTTTACTTCCTTTTTCTTTTAAATATTTTTGGGTACATTAACAGACAGACAATTTATTGTATTTACATATTGTTAATTTAATTTATATTTAATAAAAATTTGAAATTTTGTAAAACTTGAAGATTATGTTTGGATAGGATAAATAATTTACTAAATAATTTATAACTAGAGTCCGACATTTTAGGTTCCGACCTATTTTTTTTGCAACCTTGTAATGTTGAGTTTTATTTTTCAATGAGTCTCATTTTTTGAGTGATCTTCATATGTGAATAGGGTTGCCAAAATGGCCCGACTCGGACCGAAAGATCGAGTCCGGCTTAAGTTATTTGGCCCGAAAAGGACTCGTACGGCGCAGACTCGATAAAAACAAGCCCGAAAAAAATGCCTCGACCGTCGGCCCGCTCGGAAACGGCAACCCGTAATGTGAAATCTAGTGCGATAAGTTCTAAAACCACATTTTAATGTTTATGAAAGGGTCACACTGAATTTAACAGAATTCGATGTTGTCAGTTTACTTCCATAAAAATTTATGTACTTCCATATTATTCGAAATAAAAATTTTTTCCAAAAATTTTATTTTTTTACCACTAAAAGTAACTCAAAAATTCGGACCTATTCTTCAAAATTCGGACCTATTTTGGCCTTTTTCTGATTTTTTTGAACCTATTTTGCTACCTCAAAAAACCTAAAATAGGAACCTATTTCTCAATTTTTCGGGCCTAAAATGTCGGACTCTATTTATAACTAAGATTGTTTTGTATTTCTTGCCAAAAATTTGTTTATATAAAATTTTAATTTATGGTATTTTTTGTGAATGATATCTTATTAACATTTACTTAAGTGCTTTTTAAATTCCAAAAGAAATTTTAAAAATAATTATTTTTATTTAAAATTAATTATTTAAAAATATTTTCCATTTAACATAAAGTTTTATTTAAATATTAGTAGTACATATTTACTAAAAATTTTCTTATCTTCTACTTAAAATATTATTTTTGGGTTCCACATAATTATATGTATATATTTCCTTCCTAACAGTGTACCCAACGTCCGCATAGTGTACCCAAAAACTGGGTTTTTATCTAAAGAAAATGTCCGAATATTTATTTGCTTTGTTTGTGTGCACACAGGAATTTGTTTCCGATGGCGATAATTTCGGCGAGTGCAAAAGGTGATTGAGCACTTAGACAAAAATTGTTGAATGAACAATTTTTGGTTAAAAATATATTTAATGAGTTTGTATATATGTATAATGCTTAATATTTTGAGTACACAAAACGGAAATAATTATATATTTTGAACAAGAAATGTCTAGAGCTATTTTGTATTAAAGAAGCTTTTTTAAAAAATTGTTTCAAATCTCTATGTAGGAATATTTTTTAGTTAAATTTGTAAATATATGTATAATTTGTGTATTTATTAATCCCGTGTTTTATTTAATTTTAATAATTAAAATTTAGTAGACACAGAAAAAAAATATATTATCTAAACCTTTTTATTTGCAAGCAATTCGCTCACTGCTTATAGGAACTCTACCACTGAGCTACCGGGGCTTTCTCTTTTTTCCTTTTAGATCGTTTAACCCCCGCCTAAGCGTTTTAAATGCTGTTAGGTGAATCATCCTTACATAATCAAGGATGGAATTTGTTCACCTTTCACTACTGTGTTCCATTGGATTATTCTATAAATTGTTATTAGTAATTTAATTTTAAATTTCAATCCTTTGCCATATTTTTAAATTACTATATTTTTAAATAAGTATATTTTATTTTTTAACCCTTTTAAATTTATTTTCTTTTCCTCAAAAAGTTCATTTAATAATTAAAATCATCATTTCCTTTCAAAGTCCTTTTATTTTATTTTTAAATGTCATCAATCTTTCCCCCATTTTTTCAAGTGTCAATTTCAGCTTTATATTATTTCCACAAAAATAATAAAAATTTTTACTGCAAATTTATTTAGTCTACTAAATATATTTTTTGAGTGTGTAGAGTATTGCGTGGGAAGAAGTGAAAAAATAAAATTAATCAAAACGACAAATAAATAAATAATTTTTTATTAAAATCTCAACATAAACGCCCACTATATGGGTAAGTAATGCATTATATAGGGAATAAATAGTAAGACTTTTTTGGCATTTTTTAATTATGAGAAACATAAAAATAAAGCTTGGCACTAATCAGTTAAAATTTTAATTTTGGTTTATTCTAATTCAAATTTAATTTAAATATATTAAGACGGGCTGGCCCAATTTCTCTTTTTTAAGTTAAGATCTCCAATCAAAATTATAGTAAAGCAGCTGGGCTATAGCTATTTCTCTCCTTTAGCTAGTGCAAAAGGTTATTCGGCGGCTGGGAGCGAACCAGCATTTTCAGTAGACCGGACTGATGTGCTAGCCATTACAAAACACCGCCTACTGCACAGTCTTAGGATGCTTTACATTATTTAAAAAATTTAATTAAAAAACATCCCTTATTATATCCTTAATATTAATAGAGTGTTTACTTATACCAAATTTTTTATTCCCAAAATATCATTACGATCATTTAAATAAAATAAAATGCCTGAAGAAAGCCATCAAAACAACAACAACAATAGTGTTCTAATAAATTCAACACAACAAAACGGAAATTTAAAAACAGAAAAATATCAAAAATATCCTGAAAGAAATCTTTTTAACCATATTCCTTTAAATTCTGCACTTTTAGAAAATATGAATAGGGGTGGTTATTTATTAAATTTGATTAAAAAATAGTTTAATTTATTGAAAAGAATGTAAAGCTTACTTTAATTTTAAATTTCTGTTCGAAATTGATAAGGTTTACGAACAAGAGAATCTTTTATTCGATGTAGATACCATATTCTAATAAAAACACGGTCTCCATTTGAATCAGTCCTAATTAGAGTTGATCAAGACGAGACCGATACCGAGACCGATACCGAGATTCTCGGCTTTTTTCCAATATCGGTCTCGGTTTTTTCATTCTCGGTCTCGAAACCGATACCGATATTCTCGGTCCATTTCTCGGCGAGAAACGATACTGACTCAAAGAAACAAAATTCCCAATATTGTCCAAGTATTTGTCCATAATTTTTTTTCGGATATCTGTCCATAACAGAGAAAGTGAATTTTTTTCGAATAAGGTCTTCTAAAATTCAAAAAATTTTCGCCTGCGGCGCTGAAATTGGAAGAAATTTGGTGACTCGGCCTTCCAAAACTTAATAAATTTTCGTGTGCGGCGCTGAAATGTTGAATTTTACGAGCCCTCGGCCGTTAGATTTTCAAAATTTTGATTACGGAGCCTTCCGATGTTCGGCAACTGTTGTTCCCACGAGTGGATTAAGGGGATTTAAAATGATCGGAAGCAGGGATGAACGCATTGAGTTTTGCGTATCTGAGGGCAAAAATTGGAAAAAATCTGGTTTCATGGCCTTCCAAAATTCTCAAATTTTTGTCTGCGGCGCTGAAAATAGGAAGAATTCTGGCTTCTTGTTGTTCCAAAACTACAAATTTTCGCCTGCGGCGCTAAAAATTGGAAGAAATCTGTTGACATGCACTTCTAAAATTCTCAAAATTTTTGCCTGCGGCGCTGAAATCAATGGAAAAAAAAGTTAACCGAAATTTCCATTTCGGCCATCCGCGGATACCCGCGGATGGATATGCCTCAAGGATATACCTATTCGGATACGGACACAAAAATTTGTATCCATTGTCAAGCCTGATTGGATTCAGAGGATGAAGAGTATTTATCTGATGATTTGTATGATGAAAATAATGAATAAATTATTTTTACACGCGTTTTTTTACATAAAATAAATATTTCTGTTAGTATCGGTCAGTATCGTTTCTCGGTATCGGTCTCGGCTCAAAATGATGGTATCGGTCTCGGTATCGGGTTCTTGAGTATCGGTCAATCTCGGTCTCGGGTTGGCCGATACCAGTATCGTTTTGATCAACTCTAGTCCTAATAAACCACAAAAAATGAGTTTGAAAAATAGACCCACAGTATTTTTTTAAAACAATTTACCGTTCCTTGCAAATAAAGGCATGATTAAGATTTCCTTGGCAGTTTCAAACAATTAAGTGATTTTGTGTTAAAACTTTGTTCCTGATAGTTGCTTATTTTTATCAATTTATTAATTGAAAAAAAAAATTAATTTCAGCACTTTTTCAAGAAATCAAGAATCGTCAGGGAGATTTTATGCGAGCATTTAATGAAGGGGATGCTAAAGGGGCTGCTGAAATATATGATCCAGATGGTTAATAATTAAATAATTATTTTTAAATAAATTAAAAACAAAAGGTTATTTTATGCCTAATGGACATTCTCCAGTTAAAGGTCGTTCAGGGATAGAGGCATTCTTTCAAAAAGATATGGCTGATGGTGTTAGTAGTGCACAGGTAAATAATTAAATTATTTACCCGTGTTTTTAAAAATATTTTTAAAATTGTTAGGGTAACCCTCATTTAAAATCACTGAATAATCACAAGGTTAGGGGTGTTAGGGGGGGGGGAAGGTTGAATCTCGTTTTTCATTTTTTACTTTTTTCGGCACTCCCCTAACGACATAACCGTTGTGTCGTTATAATTATTTTTCAGTAATTATTGTTATATTTTAATATAGATAATAACAGAAGAAGTTAATGGTTCTGGAGATTGGGCTTTTGAAAGAGGAAGTTATCATTTAGAATGGTAAAAGAAAATATTTTTAATTTAGAAGAAAAGATTTTTTAGTGGAAGAGGTACAGAATCTGGTGCTTATTTACAAGTTTGGAAGCGAATTAATGGTGTTTGGTTGGTTCATAATGATTGTTTTAATGTTGTTCAATCTCCACGAAAGTCATAAATAATTATGGAAATAAAATAATAATTTTGAAGAAATTTGAGAATAATCATATTTGAAATAAGTAATCTCAACAATTAAAAATAAGCTTTAATTTTTTTTAAATTTAAATATGGTAATAAAAATGACTAGAATGTTAATATATTGAAGAAATAAACGAAAGTCTTTTAGTAACTACAACATATTAGGGAAAAGATTAGAAATGACAAACTTAAAATTGAAAATTATCAAAAGAAAATTAAGATTATTTATTAGACGAAGTGTTGCAAAGTGTTGACGATATAAATATTTTACTAATTAAATTTTTTTAAAACTATTGACTAACAGGAATTAAAATACAATCTAAATAAAATGAGTACATTGTATGTAAATACAAAAATTATTTATCAAGACAAAGCTTTCAAATATTAATATATTAGTTTTCAATCCTTTCCACAAATTTCTTTTCTCACACCTTCTTTGGCAAGAAATTTGGATCAATTGCATAACAAGTTCCACAACAAAGCTTAATAAATGCATACTTCACCAAAGGAATCGGTGACTAAAAATTTTAAGAATTTTGAAAATATTTGAGGTGTAACCTTGCATTTACTAGAACCATTTGTGCAGAAAGAAGATTTTGCTTTATCCACACATGCTTAAGTAAAAGAGATTATTATGAAGTAGGTAGATTAAGCTTACGGATGGGTGCTTTTCCTTTCTCATAAAGCATTGGTGGCGTATTTGCTTTTGTTTTTGACTTAGTGGAAGTCGAAGGCGTAGTGGGTGTCGTGGGCGTTGTTGGTGTCGTGCTTGGGGTTGTTGGTGTCGTGGGTGTTGTACTTGGCGTTGTTGGTGTCGTGGGTGTTGTACTTGGCGTTGTTGGTGTCGTGCTGGGTGTCGTGGGTGTTGTAGGAGTTGTAGGTGTCGTGCTGGGCGTCGTGGGTGTTGTAGGAGTTGTACTTGGTGTTGTTGGTGTCGTGCTGGGCGTCGTGGGTGTTGTAGGAGTTGTAGATGTCGTGCTGGGTGTCGTGGGTGTCGTGGGCGTTGTTGGTGTCGTGCTTGGTGTCGTGGGTGTTGTAGGAGTTGTAGGTGTCGTGCTGGGTGTCGTGGGCGTTGTTGGTGTCGTGCTTGGGGTTGTAGGTGTCGTGGGCGTTGTTGGTGTCGTGCTGGGCGTCGTGGGTGTTGTAGGAGTTGTACTTGGTGTTGTTGGTGTCGTGCTGGGTGTCGTGGGCGTTGTTGGTGTCGTGCTGGGCGTCGTGGGTGTTGTAGGAGTTGTACTTGGTGTTGTTGGTGTCGTGCTGGGTGTCGTGGGCGTTGTTGGTGTCGTGCTTGGGGTTGTTGGTGTCGTACTAGGTGTTGAAGGTGTCGTGGGTGTCGTTGGAGGATCTGTTTCAATTGTTCCAACTCCTTCAGACAATAGAATTACAAGGAAAAGATTTATAATTACTATCATAATCAAATTTCTTAAATTTTTATTTTAGGTTTCGAGCAAACATTTTTACATAATTATTTCTCTATTACTTTATTTAATTGCTAATGATGTGAAATTCTGATTTAGCTCTACTTTGTGCCACCTCTGTTCCCTAACTTGTACCCGTTGTTATCCGATCAACCATCTCATCTCCGACTAGTCAACTTGTTTTTGCTTTTTCCTAGGCTGGAAGGAAATTTAGCCGGCCTTATATTAACTACCCACATAACCCCCTAATTCCTAATTTTCTAAATATGGGAGTGGATAAAAATTTTTCTCAGTCTCCACCTATTTATATTTGTGTGGGCATCACAGTTTTTAAATCCAAATAAATTTTTAAAAAATTCAAGGAAAACAGCCAAGTAAACAATTCTCTTTTTTATTAAATAACATAAAGTACATCATCTCCGTTTTAATTTTTTAATATTTATTTACGTAAGAATTAGAAAAAAAACATCCTCAAAATTAGCCTTAATATTTAAAAATCTAAATTTAAACTTTTTATTTACACAAATGTTTAGTTCATTTTCTGTCAGTGAGCCAAAATTTTATTTTTATAAAAAATATTATTATTTTTTTAACGTTTATAGGTATTTTAATTAAATTTTTGATTAAATTTGATTTTTTAAATTTCTTCTTTTACGATAATGTAAATTTATTCGATGTTTACTCCAACTTTAGTTTTTAAAAATGTTTTCCAAATAACAGGAGATTTTTGAAATAAATGAAAGAAAATGGAATCTTTTAATTTCATAATTATTAGGTACCATAAATTTCCTAAAATAGTTTTCTTGTCCCCATTACAAAGTAGATATGAAATATTAAATTATCCGACATCTAAAATAATTGAAATAAATTTAATCAAAATTTTAAATAAAGCTAAAAAATTTTGAAAATATCAAAATGGTATATTTAAATATCATCCTCATCGCCGTCTTTTTTTCCAACCATTTTGTCTTCCACTTCCATATTTTCTGCTCTAATTGAATTTTCTTCTCCATCCAGAATATCCATAACCATCACCACCTCCACCACTCCAGCTTCCAGGCCAGTAACGAATTCTTTGATCACTTTTGAAATAAATGATTTAATATTTTTTTTTTAAATATTTTTTTTAATGATTAAAAAATAAATATTTTTTAATTAACAGAATTATACATATTATTAAAATTTAAGATTATTTAAGATTTAAATTTATTTAAGAATAAAAATAAAATTATTTAATAATACATTAGAAATATCACAACACATACAACTATTTTTATACATATTATACCCAACAATATCATTCTATGTATTCTTCCCGATCCGAATTTTCTCCCAGATTTTCTTCCAAGTTTACCTATTCCTTTTTAACCGTCTCCTATTTTTTGTTTCCATCACTTTTTTTTTAAATAAATATGGTAATAATTTTAGTTATCGAGATAGAGACAGAAATAATTGAAAGAATTATTAATTAATTAAATAACTTAACAGTTTAAAATCATGAATATTATCTTGAAATAAATAAGTAGCTCCAGCTTCACTCTTCATTGAATATAAAAATAAAAAAATTAAAATTAACATTACAAAAAATATTTTTAGTTTAATTTAAAAATTTAAATCAGAAATAAATTTAGGTATATTTTCCTTTTAATTGTTTATAAATTATTTTTTAAAATTACGAAAAAGTGTCTGACAAAAATTAAGAATTGATTAAATTTCGAAAATAATTACAGGGTGCGGCAAATTCGCGCAACTTTTTGTTTTTAATATAACTTTCTTTACTTTAAATTATTTATTTTTAAATTATTTACATTCTTTTACAATTAAAAAAATAAATTTAGACTTGAAGATATTGATAGGTTTTTCTGTTCGGTTTTTCGAAAAATCTTTCATAACCGACAGTTCTATGCAACAATAATTAAGAGTATAATTAGTAGATTATAATTATAAATCATAAAAAAGAAAATTGTCTTCTTTTTTTATTTCAAAACAATTTAAAGTTAATTTTTGTGTAATAAAATAATAATTATTTTTAAAATTAAATCAGTCTCTTTTTTTTTTGACAGAGGACTTGTTCCCTTCACAATTACACTTTAACTAAAATAAATTAACTTAAAATTAACTTAACTAAAATACATTAACTTAAAAAATATAAATTTATTTTTTATTAAAACGTTAAATTATAAACTAAAAATATTTTTTTATGTTAATGATAATTTTAATTCTTTTATTTTTATTTAAATATTCATTGGAGAGTAAAGAAGCTGATTATTTATTTGAAAATAATATTCATGAATTGAAACTGTTAAGTTAATTAATTTAATTAATTATAATAATTATTTTTGTTTTTATTGGATTAATTCTTCATTAATTTCTTTAAAAAATATTTAAAATAATTTTTAAAAATAAAGGGACCGAAAAATTCGCTACTGGCCAGGAAATTGGGGTGATGGAGGAGGGGATGGAGCGGGAGGTGGATGGGGAAGAAGATACAATTGGGGAAGACAATATGGTTCGGGAGGAAGATACAATTGGGGATAATTAAAAAACATATATATTTTTTGATATTTTTTTAATTTTTATTGTTTTTATAGTATTTTTAAATAAAAAAGTGTGAATATCTTACCAATTCCGATTAATGTAAAGTCTAAAACAAAATGTTTAATTATTTTTAAATATAGTTTAATTCTAAAATCCATCAAAATCACCTCTACCGAAGTGTTTTAAATTAATTATTTTCCATGCTGTTTGAGAAACTTTTGAAGATGATTGATGTTACTAATAAAAAATTGAAATACATATATCTTGATAAAGTAATTAACGAGAGGATATTGTAATTTCTATTTTTAGAATTACGAAATAGTTCATTCCATTTACTAATTTTTAAAACAAATAAGAATGGATAATTCTGATATTTTAAAATATTTTTTAAATTTTTTTAATTATCAAAAATTTTTTCACAAAATATTCAACAAGAAAAATCAAAATTTTATTGAAAGATTCATGCTCAAAATTTTTTTTCTAAAAACCATTTTTATTGCCAAACATTTGACAAGTAAGAATAAATAAAACGGAAAAAATTTTTCATATGAATTTACACAAATTTATAAAAAACAAAACAAATAATTAAAAAAAAGTGAGAAGGAAATTTGGTATATTCAAGTAATAAAATTAAGGAAATTCTAAAGAATAATTAAAAAAGAAAGAAATATCCACGTATTTAACAAAAATTTTGTGAAAATTTGTTTAGAAAATTAGTGACGTCGGGAAGTATCGGGTAAAGATGGTAAAATACGGAAGGAATTAATTCAAGAATTATTTTTTGCCCGAGGCTGGCTCCCGGTATTGGTCAATCAACTCCTGACTTTTCTGGATCTGGATCTTTTTAACCGATAAAAAGATTAATTATTTTATAATTAGTATTCAGCTCATATAAAGGACGTTTATAATTAGGGAAATTCTCTTGGTCTTAAATTTAGAGTGGCTTTCTTAGGAATCAAAGATTTCCAAGAGAATTTTAATTCTCGATTCGGGAATTAAACGAATAGATCCCTAGTGTATTTTC